TATCACTCCTTCTGACCTCTGTGTGAGTGCTTGCCTTGTGTGAATTCTCTGTAAAATAGTCTTTTAGGCAAATGTACATTTGACATTCAAACAATGTGGCCAGCCCATCAGAGTTGTGCTCTCTGCAGTGGAGTTTGAGTGCATGGCAGTTAGCTTGAGAAAGGACATCAGTGTCTGGTACCTTATCTTGCTAAGTGATCTTCAGAATCTTCCTAAGACAATTCAAGTGGAAATGATTCAGTTTCTTACCATGGTGCTGGCATATTGTTCAGGTTTCACTGGCATACAACAATGAGGTCAGCATGAGGGCTGTGTAGACCTTCAATTTGGTAGGGGTCTCAAACCTTTCAGTGTGTTGGGGGGTATAAAACCCAAATATGTGAAGAGCTCCCCAGGCAGAATAGGTGGATGAGAACAATTTGTTCCAGTAGCCATAAAGGCAGCTGAAGCAAGAAATGTAAAAGACCTATGAAAACGGTTGTATTCTTCTAAGGAACAGGCTAGCAGAGGAGCATGAGGGTAGGACAAAGTGGTGCTGCAGCCTTGGTGTGAGAAAAGGGTGGTGAGAGTGAAGTGCAGGGAGCAGGCTTCTTCGGGGGAGTAACTTAACTGTCTCAGAGAATCCAAGAAATTAAATGTTGGAAGGGGCCTCAGTGGTCTTCTGGTCCAACCAAATACACAAAAGGAACTAACTATATACCTAACAAATGGTCATCCAAACTTTGCTTGAAGACTTCTAAGGAGGGGGACCCCACCTTAGCATGCCCTCAAGGCAGCCCAATATACTTTAGGGCAGCTTTAATTGTTAGGAAGCAATATTTAAACAAACAGGAAACAACTAGTTTCTGATGTGGTAATTGTTTGTGAAATCAGTAGTCTGTGTATAGTCAGACCACCAACTTGTAGAGCAAAGATCAAAATCAATGCTACACCAGAAGAAAGAATAAAATGAGAAAAATATGACATATAATTGAAAGAACTGATACATGTGAAGTAAGCTATCCTCCTCCCTAAGATGTTGTACACCAGTTTATTTTCCAAACTGGTCTTGGTCTTGGCTGCCATATTTCTTCATTTGTCAAGAAAATGAAGTGGTGCTGACTGAGGTAGTTTCTGGTCTCCTTTGGTCTATTTGTTATGTCAGTGGATTTACATACATTAAATTTCTTTAGATCCTTTGTTTTGATGTCTCTTTTATTTATTTATATATTTATTTATTTATTTTATTTTTCAACAACAGCTTGTTTAAGGATTTTTTTCCTCATCTCTTTCCAGAGAGATAAGCCAGCTGCCCTCTCATAAAACAAAGACCACACCTCATCACAACAACAGAGAAAATATCGGTATCATAGATGGAATGGGAGAACTTCATCAAAACAGTACCTGTGTCTAGTCTCAAGGCTTACTTTCCCTGGCCAGGTTTGGCCACCTTGCTTGGCCTTCCATGTACTATATCTGTATCAATTGATAATTACTTTAAAAAATTTTAAAGCAATAGCACTTAGAAAGTCCATTACCAAGTCAGAACTTTTGGCTAGTATGATCCAATTAATTCAATTGAAGAAATTTTTTTAAAGACAATTGGGGTTAAGTGACTTGCCCAGGGTCACATGGCTAGTGTCAAGTGTTTGGTCTGAGGTCGGATTTGAACTCAGGTCCTCCTGACTTCAGAGCTGGTGCTTTATTCACTGCGCCACCTAGCTGCCCCTAAAAAAACATTTTTAAAGCACCTACCATAGCATATAGCATTGTGCCAAGTGCTAAAGGAGATTACAGGGAGAAAAATTTCATAGTCCCTATCCCCAAGGAGCTCACAATCTATTAAGGGGTTAATGTATGCATACAAATAACTATAATACAAATGAGAACATGCTAAGTGCATAAGAGAAAGAAATCAAATGAAAAGAAGTGAAAGATTAGAGAGAGAAAGATCACTCTTAGCAGAGAAGCCTTCATAGAGAAAGCAACGCTTCCTCTGGGCTTTTGAAGAATAGAATTTCATCAGACATTGAGAGATGATATTTTAAACAGTAGATCACTTAGTTTTGTGATAATGCTGGAATCAGACACTCACAGACTTTAGCTGGTTGTTAACTTGTATTTTTTTCCAATGGCAAGGTATGGTTTTGAGAATTGGACTATAAGGCAGAATTCACACTTTCTAATTGTGGTGCTTGGAGAAGACTTTTGAGAGTGCCTTAGACAGCAAAGAGGTTAAACCAGTCAGTACTTAAAGACATCAATTCATGCTATTCATTGGAAGGTCAAATTCTTCAAATACTTTTATTTAAGTGGAAGCTTAAATATTTTGACCACATAATGAGAAGACGGGACTCATTGGAAAAGACCCTGATGCTGGGAAAGATTGAAGGCAAAAGGAAAAGGGGGTAGCAGAGGATGAGATGGAGAGATGGTGTCATAGAAACAATGAACATGAACTTGGACAGACTTCAAGAAATTGTGGAGGCTAGAAGGACCTATGGTCCATGGGGTCACGAAGAGTAGGACATGACTGAACAATAACAACAAGTTACTTCTAGGCTGAGTCCATTGATTCAAGGAAAAGAGTTCAGTTTAAGAAGCATCTTGGGTTAGCCTGGGACGGGTTAAAGCACAAAGAGGAAGTTCTCTGGTTTGAGGGAGGTGCTTAAAATAACTTTTAAAGTTAGAGTAAAAGAAATTGCCTTTCTCCTTCTCTCTTCCAGGAGAACATTTTGCTTTCTCTCTGAGGAAAACAGAAACGGTCTGCTTCTGAACCAGTGCAAATATTAGGCAAGGAAGCCCTTTTGAATCTGGAGCTACTGTCTAACTAGTTCTGTCTAGTATTAGGCTGTTAATGGAGCCTCCCTCCCTGTCCAAGAGCATTAGACAGCTGAATTTTCTCAAATAACTCCCTCCTCTTATACTTTATCCTTCTTTTATCTGTTTATCCCCAAGGCCTTAAAACCAAGATAGTGAGGATTTTGTTTTTTTAGTTTGTTCTGTTCTCAAGGTTACCCTGGGGAGAGGAAAGGAATAAGAAGAGAATCTCTCTAACACTGTCTAAGCATGATTTATTTAGAGGAATTATATCTGGGCATTTTGTTGTTGTCCAGAGGTCATTATGATGCAGCCTGGAAATAACAGATTATGGCAACTTGCTTCCCATAATAATAAAGATAGAGATTATAATATTAAAAGGCAAAACCAGTCCAAAGAACCCAAAGTACTTTCTGTTTAAAAAAAATTAGTGGTTCCTTAGCACATCTTGAATAGGAAGAAACCTCAGGGGTTCCTCTTTAATTATTGTATACCTTTTTTTGGGCTTTTTTTTTTTGTGAGGCAATTGGGGTTAAGTGACTTGCCCAGAGTCACACAGCTAGTAAATGTCAAGTGTCTGAGGCCAGATTTGAACTCAGGTCCTCCTTGGGAGATTCAAGGTAAACATGAATGAATGAACAAAAAAAATGTATTAATTACTTGCTTTGTGCCAGGCATTGGGCTAAGGTTGGTATGCAGATATAAAAAACAAGACAGTTCCTGCCCTCAAGGTGCTTATATTCTAATATGAGAAGACAACACATATGTGAAGAAGGAATATTTTGGACCAGAAAGTTGCAGCGATGGTGAGCAGAGCAATAGGGCAATTCATTTCTTGGGCATTTTTCATATATGAAACTGAACTAGGAATTCTCTTGGTACCTGGAGGAGATAGGAATGGGGAGGGGACAGTGGGAAGATAGTCACCACAGAGAAACTTCAGACCTCAGGACACAATACCCCATGGCAGGGAGATGGAGACCCCGAGATACTGCTACTGGATAGGCCACCAGGAGAAGGAGTCAGGGCCAGGTCACAGAAAACTTACTTGGAGTGCAGAGAAGCCTCCCATCATAGTATTATAGTATCTTCTAGAGCTAGAAGACATATCAGAGATCTTTTAGTTTAACCCCCTTATTTGACAGATGAAGAAACTGAAGCCCAGAATGATTTGGTGACTTCCTCTAAGTCCCACATATAGTAAATGGCAGAGCTGGGAATTGAACTCAGGTTCTAAGAGTCCAAATTCATCACTATTTCTACCATATCATGCTGGTTGGAAGGTGATATTACTGCTGAGCCAAACGACCACCATTGGATGGAAATGTGCCCCACCAACATTGTCACCCTTGGGCAAAGTCCCAGTTACCCTGTGCTCATTGTGGCCCTTTTCACATATAGCCCTGTTCCTGGAATTCCCATTGATTTTGAGATTCATAGCCAAATTCTGGGTCTATGAGTATTCAGCTGGACTCTAGGGGGATTGCTTGTTTACCAAACTATAGGTTTAGACCATGGCAAGATTGTAAAGTGAGCCAATGTCATTCACATCCTCTTTTGGGTGCACCTCCCTTTCCCCCGTCCACTTTTAATTAGTTTCCTTTCTTTCCACTCCTCCCCCATCCCATTACTCATTACCTTCATTCTGTGAAGAAGAGAGGGAAGGAAAGGAGGACAAGGAAAAGGAGGAATTGGGGCCATCAACGTCTTGGTGAAGATGAAGAGCTACTCTTTTTTATGAAGAGTATGAACCCCTAAAGGATTTGTAGAAAACCATTTTTGGAGGCATTTGAAAGTTTTATTGAAAAATTAAAACTTCATAATGTGAAAATATGCTTAATAGGAATGTATATGTATCGCCTATATCAGATTGCGTGCCATCTTGGGGAGGAAGGTGGGAAGGGAAGGGGAGAAAAATTTAAAACTCAAAAGCTTATGGAAGTGATTGTTGATAATTCAAAAATAAATTAATTTTAAAAAAGAAAAAATTAAAACTTCATTGCTTATCATTATCATTCTAATAAGTTTTCTAACAAGTCAGAACAGTCTGTTTCTTGAATAATTTCACATATTTTGCTCTTAATAACTTATTCTAAAATTTTGAGCTTCCCTCAGGTACCTGGCATTCTCTGTGTCTATCTGTCAGAGATATCGGGCTAATCCTAAATGCTTTAAAGAAGGGCTCCATGGCACAAACACTGGATGTTTTCAGCTTTCTTTAATAGTTATCCTTTCCCAAACTCATGGATTAGGTTAGGGAGCAATAGGAATTCTCTCCTGACTGAAAATCACCAGACTCCAAAACAATGCCTGCCAAAGAGGGAAAGAGGGAAAAGAGTCACTTTGGGAAGGAAATGACTAGTCATGTACCCAATGGAAGTCAGATTTAGGGATCGGAAAATCTAGGTCATGTATTCCTTTCCACAAATTAGACTATGGAAACACAAGAATACAGAGAATATACCTTATATTTTCATCTTAGGTAAGTTGCCAGGAAATATTCTCCTGGGGGAAGTACACTTGGGATAGATGGGAGGCAGCTCCTTTCAAAGGGGAAAATCTCAAAACCAAATATTCAGGATTGGGAACTGACTGGCTTTCTTCTTCCAAATAAATATATCTACCCACTGGGGCCTGAACTTGAACCTCAAGCCTTGGATTACAGAATTACTCCTAGAGGCTTACTCTAGAAAGGACTCAGTCTTTACTAAGTGCTGAGGTCAGAAGGTACCACAAATACTGCCTTGAAAAATACTTTCCCTTCTAGGCCAACTGTATCACCAAATTTGAACTCAGGAAGATGAGTCTTCCTGTCTCCAGGCCCTGTACTCTATACACTATGCCATTGCACTGCCCAATCATGTATTTGCTATTACACTTAAAAATCAACAGATGCCAATTGTAGAATCACAGTAATTTTGAGCTAGAAGGGAGGCCATCCTATCCAATTCTCTCATTTTATAGATGAAGAGATTGAGACCCAAAGTCACATAGATCCTAAATGAAATGAGCAGTATTTGAACCCAAGTCCTCCACACCCAAATTTAGAGCTCTCTCCAACATTACCAAATCTGTTAAAGACCACACAGAGTTTAAATAGTAGAGTCGAAATTCAGACCCAGGTCTCCCAAGTTATAGTTCTGTGTTCCTTCCATCACATCAAAACCATTTATGGATTCTGGCTAAGATTTGGGGAAATCATCTTTAGCTGAGCATTCATCTTTGCCTTTAGCTCTTTCTCAGTCCTACACAATTCCATTTCTCTACTTAGTGAACTGTATGCAAATGTTTCATGAGGTCACAGAATTAGGGATGTGAAAGACCCTAAAGGCCATTAAGATCTAAACCCCTCACTTTACAATTGAAGAAACAGAGAGGTAAAATGACATCCAGCCACAAAGCTAATGTCTTAGGCAGGATTTGAACCCAGGTCTTCATGATTACAAGTCTGGTGCCCTGTCCACCATATCATGCTGCCTCTTACAAAAGGGAACTGTTTACCTAGAGCTATCACATGCACATATCCAGAAAACTTTGGAATTTTGTCATAGGATGAATTCAAACTTTTTTTTAAAAGCCCTTCCGAGCAAAAGATTATTCATTATTTTTCTGGACCCCTTCACAGTTATGTCATTCTTTCCTGTAAGGAAGTTACCCACGCAAACTAGAACCACCCAACCCAAGCTGGGCAGGACAAATTGTTTCATTCTATGCCTCTCACTTTCATAGAATCACCAAGAAATGAAGCCTCAAACAGCAAAATGGAAAATGAGATAAGAGGGCAAAACCTTTCCAAGACACTGAAATCAACAAATTTTAGTGACTGGCCAAAATAAAATTTTGCAGATCCTGGGTGGTTCTGGGACTTTGGTTTGACATTGAATGGAGATTTAGTGTGATCATGAGGGTGAAACGCAGGCAATTAGCCACACAGTCAGCCAGCTAATGGTAATGGAATGAGCTGCAGGTGTCCTAGGTGACTGCAATTGGAAACATCTCTCTCAATTAAAAAGACGAACTGGCAAACCACTCTGCCTAAGTTCTCCAAGGAGAACTTTTTTATTTATTCATTTTTCTCATGTATACTCTAAAATGTTCTTTCTGCAAAACAGCAGTGAGCCTGGTCAGAGCTGCTCGAGAATCCACAAGGATCTTCGGAAATGTTGCCATAGAATTTAGCTAAGCTAGTCACAGAGCTTGGTCCTGATCTACTAAAAGGTACAAGGGCCTGGTTGTTAGCCAGGAGTCACTAGAAAAGCATTCAGAAAACTAGACACAGTAAGGGTAACAAAGGTGCAGAGTCTATGGAAGAAAAGGGGTTTCAGTATACTCAACTGTATGTACAATTTCAGAATTCCTTTTAGAGACAGGAAAATGATCCATAAGTGATTATTTTTAAGGGCACTCTAATAGAAATGCACATGTCACTAAATTTTACTCTTTTCTCTTTGGCTCACAAATACACTAAAATACCATAAACATTATTTCAAACTTACTTCAGTAATATAGCAATAAGATACATTACAAATGGAAGAAAATACAAGACAACTCTTAACATGGTAAATCTCTGCATATAAATAAAGCAAATATTTCATATACCTACAATTGAACAGTTATTGAAACCATTACGTGTGTTCCTTCCCCCACCACAGTCATTTAACAATAATATACACAATCTACACAAAGTAATCTCTAAAAATACAGCAAGAATATATCTATTGACAAGGACTGTGCTACTACTGTCCCCTACTATGACACTAATGGAGAGGGTGTGGCTATTTGGGCAGCAGATGGTGACTTTCCCAGAGCTATAATTAGCAGTTATGGAGCTCAGGGAAAGCACCACAAAATACCTGTGCCTGGGGCAAGCAGTAAGACAAATTCACCTAGGGTAGGTGGGGTGAGTGTGAAGAAGACCTCCCTTGGAGAAAAAACTTAGGTATCAAGACACAAGATCTCCTCCTTTTGGAGGAGACACCCCAGGACCCCTTGAAGCTACTGCTGGTGAGGTCATCACCTGGAAATGGAGTATAATGTGGCTTGAAAGAAGCTCACCTGGGATTCAGGCCAACTGGGGGAGGGAGCTACTGTCCTCTGACAGCTTCCTATTTTGACTAATTATTCTTCCTAAATAGGTGCTGAGGTCAGTTGTTTCTACTTGATGAAGGAATGCAAGTGCTGTCAATGCCCTGTAAATGTTAGCATCCTGTGACAAAGCCTCTCTTGCTCCTCCTTAGTTATAGCTCTGGCTTTTCCTAATTGATTATGTCAGGCAGGAGAGACTAACAGAAGGTAAGATTAAGTCCTGCTAAATAGTAATTTCCTTTGTAATTACAGAACTACAGTTTTATAAAAGCTTCCCTGTTTTCATTTGGCAAGCTGGTTTGCAGCACATTACCCCCTCCTCAGTGACTGTTGAAGGAAGAATTGGCTCTCTGAAAGTGGAAATCATGCTGCTTATTACTAAAGTCCTACTCACTATACATATATATATAGTTATATATAACTGTACATATATACTGTAAAGAATTTTTCATCTGCAACTTCTTTTAAGACCTATTAGTTTCCTGCTAACTACAACAAACAGGCTTAAATAAGGTTTAGCAGTACATGTCACAATTATATATTTTTTCTGTCTCAGTAAAATGGCCTATATGTTTTCAGCAACTTACAGGGATTTGTTCTAGAGTGCCATAGGAGAATGGAACATTTAGAAAGGAAACTTCCATGAAATGTATTCTGGAGAACTGGGTGTGAAGCAGCCAATTCTGGAAAACAGCTCATGAAAGCAAGAAAAGGTTTGCCAATTGTTATTACAGATCCTGCCCCAATCTTTCGATTTCCTCAATGAGGAAGTCGATGTCAGACTTGGTGGCTGCTGGATTTGAGATAACCATCCGGAAGAAGTTGGCTTTGTCTCCCTGAGGCTGATATCCCACCATAGTTGTACCAGACTCCATCATCAGAGCTTTGATCTTCGGTGCCACCTTGTGATAGAGAACACAAAACAATACATAAGGCCAACTTTAAGATCTCTTTTTTGTTTGTTTTGAAATGTTAGTCATTTTAATTTTTTTTTATTCTTAACTTGACAGACTGAGGGGCTCAAATTAAATCAGTGCCTGAGGTCCCTTCCATCTGTGAATCTACAAACACAAACATTTCCATATTTAAAGAATGGAAAATGAGGATTATATATGAAACTGAAAATCTTTATAAGTAAAGCTTTTGTTTTTGATAATAATATAATAACAGTGTTAAGTGACTTGCCCAGGATCACATAGCTAATAAGTGTTATGTATATAAGTTGGATTTGAACTTGGGTCCTCTTGAATCCAAGGCCAGTACTCTGCTACACCACCTAGTTGCCCCTTTAAAAATGTTTTTCAAATGAGTTAGTACACACACACACACACACACACACACAGAGTACTTGGAAAACCTTAAAACCCTATATAAATGCTAACAGCTATTGTTATTAATAACAATAATAAGTAATAACAAATAATTTAACACATTTGGGGTATGGTGGGGAGTTTGGAAAGAGCAACCTGGCTAAAAATACCTTTGCTATTTTTTTAAACATGGACAAGAATAAAAAGAAAAGGCAAATGCTAAAAATTCTTATTTTTATAATGGCTGATGTGCCACAGAAGAGGCAGTGTGCCATAATGGATAGAATTAGGAAGACTTGGATTTAAGTCCAGCCTCTGACAAACACTGGAAAATGTGTGATCACAGACAAAGACTTTCAATGTCCCAATTCAGCTTAGAAAACTAAGATGATAAGTTAAAAATGAATTGTTAATCTTCATTGGTAGAGGGAGTTTTCACATTGGTAGTTTCTTACATCAATTAAAATACAATCTGGACCAAATATGTACATTTATTTACATATATATGTTTCTACATTTATGTCTATGTCTGTGCCTATGGTCTAACTAACTATACAAGAAATCCTCTGCTGGTCTTCCTCTTGTACCACATTGGGTCAGGAAAGGAGGTAACCTGGCAAATGTTTAACAACCTTCTCAATTAAAAAAAAGTACACTTTTAAGTTTAATCCCCATTATTAACATTTTCTTTGTCACTTTAAATCTAGACTATCAACAGAACAAATCAAGCCCTGATGTGTAGTATTTGGCAATTCCCAAGGTGTGAATGCTCACACTGACAATTTAACAGTTAGCTCTCACAAGTTGGTTCTAGCACACACCTGGTCAAGCAGTAACCATAGCCTCTCAAGGGCTATGCCACCGAAATAAGAACTGTAGTAGGTTTTTACCAAACTAGAAAGGCTTTGAGTGAGCCTGGAGACTGGTTATGCATGTCTGTTGTTTGAGGACCAGCTAAGCTAAGTATTAAAAGGGCAAATTGCCAAAAGGTTGGCCATCAGGTGATGAATTTTTCAACAATGGCAACTCTTAAGAGGTCAGAATTTGCTTCAATAGACAGATGGGGAAGAAAGCAGATTTTATTTTCAAAATGTTAATTGGAACATTGGAACAGATACCAGTCAGAGCCAAATATGTGGACAGTATCCTAAAAGAACTGCAAAGTATTGTACTACCATAAATATACATAGAACACGGGCCAGGTGCACTATAATATGCTAGTGTACCTGGACCATGCTCTATGGATGCCTCCATTTTCTACTATAGGATAAGAGATCTTGTTTTGGGATGCTCGGTTTAAAAGGAGACCTCATGAATTTAAGAGATCAGCACATCATCAAAGTCAGTTCCAACAATATCTGCTGAAAAAGAGCATCTATCCAAGCTCATGCACCAGAATAAACTGCAGTTATTTAATACAGGTCTGAAATACTACCAAAAATTTGCTCCAGCTAGCCATGTACAATTATAGCCATTTGGAGCTTGACGAAAGCCACACTGTCAGTCTTTGTCTGTGTCAGCCTCCAAAAAAAGCATCTCACTACTGTTACTGATTGGCAGCAGAGAGGACTGGATTTGGAGTCAGGAAGATCTAGGTTCAAACCCTGCCTTAGGCTCTTCCCAGTGTGACCTCAGAAAGTCACATCCTCTCTAAGCCTCAGTTTCCTTATCCGTAAAATAAGGATAACAATGGCACCTACCTCACAGTATTGTGATGAAGCTCAAATGAGATATTACATGTAAAATGCTTTGAAAACCTTAAAGTGCTATAGAAATATTAGCCAACCAATGAAATAATGATAAATATTTATTGGTTGGCTAATTACTATTCCCTAACTCTGAAGTGAGGATAGGATTGGATAAACACAAGAAGGGAGTGGATCCTTATGTCAAATGCTTTTGAGGGATGAAATGGAGCAACATCTGGAAAGTTTTCACAGAGATGCAACATGAAATTTTTGTACCCATTATAAATTGCATAAAAGATGCCTAATATTGGATGGGGTTAACACTGTTCCCCTGGGGTGCAGACAGAAAACTCAGACATCAGCATGAAGTTACTGCTGAAGAGACTGAGGCAGGATAACAGTGCAGGGTGGAGTGCAATTATTTGATAGCTTCCACTTCAGTTGTTCTTGCTGAGTTCTAATATTTCTACCCTGCTAAAACTTGGCAAATACAGTTAGTGCCTTCTAATTCTGTCCTGGGCAGACCAGTTGTCCTGTTCTAGGTATGGCAATAAGTCTTCTCCGTTGTCTTGGAGTTTGTGAAAGCAGTTGGGGGAAGGCTATATGGTAGAGATTGAATGTGTTGACAGAGAGAGAGAGAGAGAGAGAGAGAGAGAGAGAGAGAGAGAGAGAGAGAGAGAGAGAGAGAGAGAGAGAGAATGTGTGTTGGTAGATGGGGAGGTGGGATGGGGAACAATCTAGTTATTTAAGAAATAGCACATTTCTCCTTGTTAGAATGAGGACATGGGATTCTAACTGTAGCACTTATAAAGCTGGTGACATACCATATTTTAACCTCATCAAATTGGTCTATCTTTTCAGTTATATCTATTTCTCTACCTGGAACTTTTAGACAATCTACATTATCTAAGCATACTTCTGAATTATATTCTTGGTTGGCAAATTTGGAAAGAATAAGAACATTTATTGAAGTTCACTGTCATGAAGGATTTGCCAATGGAACTCAACTACTTTCCATTATAGAGATCTCATTCTTTTCTTCTTTTTCCTTCTTCTCACCCCCTTCTTCTACTTTCTTACTCTGTTTCTTTTCCCATCTTATGTATCCTCTTTTACATTTTATTCCTTCCCTGGTTGTAGGTCAATGGTCCCACTGGGGTTTGCTTCATCCCAGCAATGACACCGAGGGCTAATTTATGATTTGCTTTGTTTAAATACTGTGGGAATCCAGACATAGAGACTGACTTTCCCTTCTCTTACTTACCTTAAGGCACTTATGACCCATGAATATTCTTGGTATAAAAGTCATTGTCTTCAAAGGGCTACTCTAAGGCATTTTAAGTTTAACAGACCCTGACTTTACTGCCCTGCAAGGCCTTTGCACTCTGAAGCTGTGACTATCTAATGCCAAATAGTTGAGAAACAAAAAATCCAGTTAGTCTTAACATCTGATTTTGTTTTGTTTTGTTTTCAGTGGCAATGGTTGATTTAATGGAGTGCCTCACTGAACTGAATACTGGTTATGACACCATGTAGACAAAAGGTGACAATATTCTCACAGGTCATTTACCTGCAAAAAAATAAATTCTTGGCTACATAGAAAAAGCAATTTAATTTGGGGTGAATGTTTTCTTAAAGGAATAAAAATACTTCAACTCATCTACCATCTAAATTAAAAACAGGGAATATAAAACTTTGTTCACTGAGCACAACAATTACTAAAAAATACCTTCAGTTTTAGGTTGTGGTCTGTTAAATGCAGAAAAAAGTGAAAAACAGAAGAAAAGTAAGGGAAAAGTAAGGAGATAGGGAAGGAGAGAGAAAGTGAGATGAACACAGGAGATAGAGGGAGAGAAACATACACTGAGAAAAAATAGAAAAAAATGACAGTGAGAAAAAGAGATGGAGGGAAAGGAAGGAACATAGATATAGATACAGACATTGAGAGAATAGAAGCAAATGAGAGAAAGAGATAGAGAGGGAAAACAAGGATCAGACAAATATACATACATACGTACACATATACATATATGTGTATATATACATATATGGATACATATATGCATACACACAGAAGAGAGAGACAAAGAGGAAGAAGGGAAGGGAAAGAAAGAGGAAGAGAGAGGCAGATATAGGGAGAGAGAGACATTGCCAGAGCTCATTAGGTTTTTGAGGTAAAGGTCAAAACCCTTCAGTTCATTTGAGCATTTGAGTTTTAGTGTTAGATACTCCCTTTTAAATTTTAATTAGCTACTTCACTACTTGTTATACCTCTTCAACAACTCTAGTCCTCAAAACTTGAGAGACTACTCTGTTTGTTATAAGAAAGCAATCCACTAGAAAGGAAATGGCTATTAATATAGAAGACGTGACCAGAACAATTATCACCTTGAGGAACAGATTCAATCCAACTAAAGGCAGAATTTGATTCTCATTCGGCTATAGAACTGTTTGAATAGAGGGCTGGATTGTTTGCTCTGTGGCTGTACTTACAGGTTCAAGCAATGTTCTCAACTAGATATGCAATTCTTTTTTGGTAAGTAACTGAAAATTCAAATACTGAGCCAAGTTTCCATCAAACTTTCATCTCATTCTCTTTTGTTGTTATTGTTCAGTCTTGTTCAGTCATGTCCAACTCTTTGGGGTTTTCTTGCCAAAGACAGTGGAGTGGTTTGCCATTTCTTTCTCCAGCCCATTTTACAGATGTGGAGAGATGAATCCTGGCTATGTTCCAAGTGGGACTCCCATGAATACTGAAACTGATGCCTTACTAAAGCTACAGAGTTGAGTTGACCTTAAAACAAAGGTTAAGTTCCCTTGTAACAAGGGTAACTCAAAGAAGAAAAGTGAGCTATTCAAAAATCTTCGATGAAGATGAGCAGAACCATCATATGAGAACAAGCTAACCCTAGGCTGCTGGAGAGAATGCTGAAGGGTAGATGATAGATTGTATGTACTCCATACCCTGTGAAGTTTTTCTCGTCTCTCATCACTGTCTGGGATCCCCCTGAGGCTTTGTGGAATGTACCAGAAGCAAACATTTGTGTGCTCAGGCTGTGGAGACAAAAACAATGATGCAGTAAAGAGTATGAAAATCTAAGGAAAGGTTTTCCCCAACCCAAAATTCTTACTTAAAGTCATAGATGAAGTGGGAGGATCTGCCAGGACAAAACTTTCAGATTTCTAACAGCATGGCACGTTTGAATAAATGCTGATGTACTAAATAGAGTAACACTTAATATCATTATGCAAAACCAGGGAATAAGACATTCCATATGTGAGAATTTTCCCTTCAAGCAATTAAATTTAAAATATATGTATGACAATGTTTGCATGCACACAAATTTCTTGAAAATCTTTTGTAAAAGTTTGATATACTTCCCTGCTCTCTCGTTCCTTCTATATAGTAGGTGATCAATAAATATTTGCAGATTTCACTTTATTTACAATTAACATATCTGAACTTTTTCTTGATGACTCAGAACATGAGTGTGATGGTAAATGTTTGACAACCAGCTCACCAAAAAAAAAAAAAGAGTACACATGACTCACTTTTAAGCTTAATCGGGATTATTGACATTTTCCATCACTTTTTAAAGTCTAGATAAAGAAAATAATAAATCGTGCCCTGATTTGTAAAGTTAACCAGTTTCTGAGGTGCAAATGTTCACATTGATAATTTAACCATTGACTCTCTTGATAATTCAAGCTGGTTCCAGCATGCCTGTGACTCAGAACCCTATTTATGAGAATGCATTTTCGTGTTGCGTTTTAATGCAGTGATGTCCTTAGGGACCATTGGAGTACTTGGAGTTTTCTATCCTTCATTACATGACTTCATGACTACTGTGGGTTTTTTTTTAGTTCTTCTCTTTCTGTTTATCATAGTTTTTCCTACCTCTCTCACACTGTCAATTGTCACTTCTGTCTGCTGTCAATATGTCTGCCCCCTTAAGTTTTTCCTCTTCCTCCTAATTTGCAGTGGTCTCAGAAACTGGGAAACTTGTTAAAATATAGTATGTATAAATATTATATATAAAAAAGTAAATAGTCTCTGAGTGATGGTCTGAGGGACTCTCCTGTGAGTAAAATGCAGCAACTAAGAGTTATTCCCCAATAAATAAGTGGCCAAAAATAATAATTTTCAAAAGAAGAAATATAAACCATTAACAGGCATACAAAATAATGCTCCAAATAACTAATAATAAAGACAAATGCAATTACAACAACTTGAGTTTTTAACTCACATCCATCAAATTGGCAAAGAAGACGAAAGAGTCAGTTTAAAACCCTGTTTCAAAAGCCTTTCTGATGGAGAATATAGTAGCTGTTACTGTCTCTTTAAAATCAGAAAAGCTGAATTATAATTACAACTATAACTGAGTGACTCTATGGAGTCAGGGAGAATGTGTGAGTTTAACTTTGATCTATGAGAATCTATGAGAAATTGTGCCGAAAACCAAGAGAAGGAAGATAAGGAGAGACTTCTTTCTTGAGAAAACTGTCTTAACTATTATTTTATGGAAACATTAATTAAAAAAAAACTTTATGAAGAGTCAGCCCAGAGAGATACTATCAAGAATGAAGATTTGATAAAAGCTAAAAATACATTTTTTCTGTCACATCTGGAGAAAGACTGACAGAGCCCAAGGAGAAAGAAGATGAAGACATCTTTCTTTGTGAAACTATTGTAAATATTGTCTTACAAAGAGGATGAAACTAATTCTTTTGGAGAGATTTGTTGTTCTAAGAATACTAAATGGTATGGACTATACTCTCAGAAGTGAAGTCGTATGTCATCATAATTAGGGCTTAAGGTGACTCTGGCCATGGTGTTTCTCACAGCTAAATACTGTAAATAATTACCCATGTCTTTGTTTTATTATTGACTTTATTGTTAATAAACTATATTATTAATTATAAATGTTTAGTAACCCTAATATTTATTTAATTCTAGGAGATTATTGGATTTAATACAGAAAGAGATTTAAATAATTACCATAGAGAAAATAACTTTCTGTAGTTTAAAATACAAATAATATTTGATGAACCTGAGTGGAAGCTCTAAGAAGACTTGATTAATTAGGAAATAGGTGGAATTTTTTTTAATTCATGAGAAAATATACAAATATACTTCTGGATTATCCTACATTTTAGGATGGTAAGATAAAATATGAGAATGAGTGAGCCAAGATTGGTGATCTGTGTACCCCTGTTACATAGTCAATACTGGAGGAACTCTGATAAATCAGATATACTAATACATTGTCAGTGGAGCAGTGAATTGGTCCAACCATTATGCAAATCGATTTGAAATTATATAAGAAAACTTTTAAAACTATTCATACCCTTTGACCCAGGAATCCTATTCCTGGACAATAATCCCAGTAGTGCAAGAATATCAGTAACAAAAAGAAAGGCGACATTTATACCAAAATAGTCATAGCATCACTTCTTGTAGTAGTAAAAACCCCCAAAACCCCTGAAAACCAAGTGGGTGACCATAGATTGGGGAATGACTGAACAAACTGTGGTTTGTGGGTATAATTGGATGTTGTTGCATTCTAAAAAGCAATGATTATAGGGAATTCAGAAAAATCTGCAAAGACTTGTATGAACTGACACACAGTGAAGAAAGCAGAGCCAGGAAAACAAAATGCACAAAGATTACAGTAATTAAATGAGATTTAAATTAAATTAAGACAATACAATCAAAATTCATATTAAATGCCATTACTAATTTTAGTTCCAGAAGACTGATGATGAAACATTTTTTTCCTCTTGGAGTTAAGGTGGTGGACCACAGGTGTAGAATGTTTAAGTGCATTATGTTTGTTGGTTTCACTTAACTTCATTTCTTCATTATAAAGAAGGGCTCTATGGGGGAGGTGGTTTATTGGGAAATGATTGTGGTGTGTAAAAAATGCAAATAGTAAAACATTTTGAAGTGTAAGAGCTTAAGTGTATAGGTTTTGTGATCTCCTTTGGATATTCAGAGTTCTAAATGTTCTTGGACATTTTATAGTTAAGGTGTTTTTTTTTAATATCTTCCAGATAAACATTTATTTCCTAACTGTATTTGGTTGTGAAATTTTCATTTACTAGAAAATGATCCCATTTCACATCCATTTCAAATTTTAATCTGCATCATGTTGCTCTAAGTTCAGGTTAAAGTTAGCTTTTATCTTATTCTCTTCACAGCGCCAAAGTAAAACCTCATTTTAAAGCTGATATCAGAGGACCCATGTAACATCCCCAATAAACATTCTGAGCTATAGTGAAGAATGTATGATGTACTATTATGTACGTGTGCACATGATTTGATCTGTACTATAATCGAAGGGGTGGTATAATGAGAGACAACACACACATATACACAAACATATGTGCATATATTTGTATGTATGTGGTGGAATTTTTGACAATACCCAAATCAACTAAATGACAAATAAGATCATTAAAGAATAAATTCAAAACTGCATTTTTCTGAGTTAGCCAAGGCATTTTTATTATTCATGTACAAGAAGAGAGAACTGGAACTAAAAAGAAAAAGTTTTGTAAAGGGTTAATTTCAGAAGATAGAAGGAAAGGAGGAGGGGAAAATTAGATTTATCCTGCAGGAGTAAGGATTTGAGTTAGAAATGAATTCCTGATTGTAGAGATTAGGAGAGATGATTACTACTAGCAAGGAAAGATATCAGCTGCCTTTTCCCAGAGCCCTTGAAGAATAGGAAAATAGGTCAGTTTTACAGCTGTCCTAGATGGTTTCTGTGCACACTTTCCCAAAATTAGATAGGCCAGACTAAGTAATCACTGAACATCCTAAGAGGAAAAACTGTTTATGAATGTGCTAGTGTGTCTAATGACGCCACTTCCAATTTGAATTCTGGGTCAACCAAAACAACATCATTAAAAAACACATCCAAGATGTCTAGGACAGTAGTATATATCTTGTGGGATAAATACCAATGAGGAAAACTTAAAAGACTGTTCAGGGTATAATACCTGGCACTCTGGACAAACATGGCCTCACAATAGTCACTAATGGAAACACTCCACAAAACAAAAGCCCTCAACATATGTTATTTATAGTCAGGATAGACTGTGATGACTTACCTCACCATCAAAAACCATTTCAAATTCTTCTCTGTTTTTAATTTTGGCATAGAGATACTCTGCCAAATCCAAGCACTTGTTGACCTGATTTTCAAATCCCACTGTGCCCTGTTTTCAAAGGAAGAGAGATATTAATAGGAATGTATCATCTCCCCATTTATGTATTAAGATCATTGAATCTTAGAGTCAGGAGGAACTTCAGAGGTCACGGTTCAACCTCCCACCTGAAGTATCTCTGCTATTTGAAGACTTTAAATAAAAATACTGGAGCATTAAGTGATTATCTTCATTTGTCAGAAGGCAAAATATTATTTTTTAAAATAATTAAACAGTAAAAGAGAACCCCCAGTAAAAAATCTGACCTTCTGACCTTTGAGATTTTATCTTCCAAAAAATTTCACTGCCCAGTACTGTCAGTCTGAAGTCCTGTTTGCTTTGGAACCTGCCACATATCCCTCCACCTTGGACTTGAAAGTGAACCCTGACCAAACATCCCTTGTTCCCACCCCACCCAAGCAGCTTTGCCAATTGCTGTCACACTTTTGTCTTGATCAGTAGGCAGGTAGGAGAGAGCCACTGGTCTTTGTGCATTTCATGGCTTAGCAGGAATCTCAGATATTTCATTGGGTACAAGTATTGACAAGTAGTCAGACTAGTCCTAAGCACAAGCTTTGAGGGTTAAGCAGAAGTGCAAAGTGTCTGCATGGGTTGGTGTTAACAAAGAGAACAGATAAGCTCTCAGAAGGGCTGATTTGGGGTGGACTAACAAGACTGTATGAAGTTCCACACGGCCAAAAATCCCCATCCTTCAAACTGGCTGGCAGTCCCAGTTTTATGGATTATCCACTTTGCCAATTATCTGTGATAAATGTTAATAACAGGTGAGTGGCCTCAAGGCTACCTCCCCCAGCTTAATGTTATCTACCATGCCCTCAGAACATAGGAATTAAAAGCATTTCTGTCCTACTTCCTGGATTCCCTCCTTGCTTACCTTAGCTTTCCACATCAACCAAAACTTGAAAATGTCCACATGGCGGCCACACTGTATGGCCTTGTCTCCAGTGTCATAGGAAATGTCATACTGCTTATCTTGCTGGAATAGGTACCCTGCACACATCTGATTGCACCCTTGGAGTATGCCCTAGGGGTGGAAACAGAGAAGTATTTGCATATTATGTTGCTGATCTTGTAAAGCATGACTGGATACATGCAGGGGAGGGGACTTGGGATGACACACAGCTTTTTTTTTTTCCACAGCTAATAGTATTGTTAAGCTACTCTATGTTGTTTGTCCCATTAAGGGGAAGGTTACTCTTGGGAGAAGTATAATGCAGAGCTCTCTTGCTTCCTGACTTCCTCTTCCTCTATAGAAACTGTCTTCAGAATATAGCCTCTGGAGTCAGATAAAAAACTAATAATTTAAAGAACTAAAAAATAATAACAGCTTTATTTTGTTCTTTAGGACCAGCCTATTTTTTCCTTTTTTATTTAATTTTTAATTTATGGAATAAAACAAGCATTTTCATAATTTCCATGGCATAATAAATAAGATGATTGCATATGAAACTGCAAATCTATTATATATAGCTTGCTATTCCTTTTAAATATATAATTTAAATAAATTACATGATAAAAGTTATCATGTAAATTCCTTTTTTTCCCTTCTTCCTTACTTCTAATTTTCTGATTTCTTTCACAGAAATGTAAGTCCATGCTAACAACTTGCAGCTAAAGGTTTTTTAATGTAGGAAGTTACCTCATCAGGTAGGGCTATCACCTTTTCTTTCTCACTCCTGTCCTCTTGGACATAGAGATTTTAAATAACCTTTATATCAAATACTCAGTCATCAGTACAACTACAGATATTGAACAAGAAGGCCAGTGACTGCCAGCAAGCAGTCCAGAGCTAATATAAACTTATCCATTTGGCCCATATCTCTTCACGACCTGGCCACTTCCAAGCTTCCCAGTCTTTTTACACAGGATTCCCTTCCATGTTCTCTGGAGTCTAGCCACATGGTCCTCCTTGCTGTTTGACACACACACATACTGTCTCATCTTCTATTTGTCTGTCTTTGTACTGGCCCATGCCTGGAATACCATCTTTCCTCCCCTCTTCATCTTAGAATCCTTGGTTTCTTCCAACACTTGGCCCAAATGTCACCTTGCACATGATGCCTTTTCTGATCCTCTCATATGTTACCCTCCCTCCATAAAACATTATATTCTTTTTAGATATATTCATTCTCTCTCTCTCTCTCTCTCTCTCTCTCCTCTCTCTCTCTCTCTCTCTCTCTCTCCTCACCTCTTCCCTCTCTCTCTCTCTCTCTGTACACACACACACACACACACACACACACACACACACACACACACATGCTATCTCCCACATTAGAATGTAAGGACTGTTTCACATTTGTCATATTTCCAGTGCCTGCCCCAGAGCAGGCACTTAATAAATACTTGTGGATTGGTTAGTAATAGGTTACTGATGCCTACAAAACCTGGTCCTGATCCCATCCAGACAGATTTTTGCTCAGGAACCTCAAAAATCCATGTCTGGAAGGGACAGCAGCTTGGCTGCCTACCAACAGGGGTTGCTAGAGTTGTCTCCAGCTGCTGTAGCACCGACCCCTTTCTTTCCCTTCTCTCCAGCTACCAACACCTTTGGTACTTCAGAGTCATTTGCTGAAAGAAAGCAAACCTTTTCTCGCACGAGAATGGCAGAGCACTGTAACAGAACACCCATCATCTTGTGAGGGTTCCAGGTAACTGAGTTGGCTCTGGAAGAAGAAGAAATTGGTACTTATAAGAGAAGATGCATACAGTGGGGCACAATAAATCATGTTCTTTGGGGAGTCATCACTGCACATACATAAGCTGATATACTCTTCACCCACAACCCTACTTTGATTGAATAAACATGCTTGCGTATGTTTGACCGGTAAACACAGTGTCAGTGCAGTGAGCAAAAAGTACTCTGCCACTTATTACTAGGAAAGTGACTCAGACACCCTTCCTTCTTGTACTTATCCATAAAATGGGATGGTGATGGATCTAACTGCATGTCTATCTCCCTATAATAGCTGACATCTATGTGATGCTTTATGGATATCATCTCATTTGACCCTCACAACAACCCTGGGGGGGGGGGTAGACGCTTTTATTATCCCTATTTTACAAGTGAGAAAACTAAGGAATAAAAAAAGTAAGTGACTTGCCCAGGGTCACACAGTTTGTGCCTCAGGCTGGATTTGAACACCAGGTCTTCTTGATTCCAGGTTCAGTGCTCTATGTACCATCCTAACTAACTGCTCTTACTGGGAGGTATGAGGAAATTCCTAAAAATGCCTATAGCCTAGTCAACCATAAAGTTTTGCTACACAGAAAGGCTATTTAAATGCTAAATGATCACAATCTTACCATTTTCATTGTAACTATAATTTAACAAGCAAGGTCTCCTAGTATCCTAATCAATTATCCAAGACAATTAAGTGACTAAAGAGCACCTTAACCAGGATTTTGCAACATCCCTAAGTGAAATATATAATGATTAAAACCTTGGCACTCTTGCTTCAATGATACACAAGCTTATTTTGTTTGTTTGTTTGTTTGTTTGTTTTAGGCAATGGGGTTAAGTGACTTGCCCAGGATCACACAGCTAGTAAGTGTTATGTGTCTGAGGCCGGATTTGAACTCAGGTCCTCCTGAATCCAGGGCTGGTGCTCTATCCACTGCGCCACCTAGCTGCCCCGATACGCAAGCTTATTAAACATTCCCTGGTGAACCTGGTGGACTCTGCCCCCAATAATCATTGGTTTCATTGAAATGTTTGAGAGGCAGCTAGATGGTGCAGTGGGTAGAACATGGCTCTGGAGTCAGGAGGACCTGAGTTCAAATTTGACCTCAGACCAAACACTTGACACTTGCTAGCTGGGCAAGTCACTTAACCCCAACTGCCTAAAAATTAAAAAAAAGAGAAATGTTTGTTTGACCTTCCCGTACCATGTCCCTTACCCAAAATTCTTAACTTTCTTTTGTTACAGAGGTCCTTTAGTGGGGAAAGTATTTAGTAGATATATTTGTGTCTGCAGAATGTAGATATGGTGTGAATAAATACAGAAACACTGAATAATTCCTTCCTTCAAAAGCTATAATGAAGAAAGCAAATCTATTGTACTTTGCAAAATATTCAGATGACAAGTAATGGATTTTCATCTCATCCCCAGGGGTCAAAGGTTAGAGCCCTGCTTAAGCCATAAGGGCTGCAGAGCCAAGGGGATGGGCTAAGGGTCACTCAAAATGCAAGAGCCCATTCATTCTTTGCACAACAGATTGTCCTACCCTTAAGGAATTATATTTGTCTCATGAAATGTCATAAACTTTTCTGAACTTCCCAGAGATTCTAAATAAACAATATATTTATGCTTCAAATAGAAAATAAGATGATATAGTCAAGGTCTGATTTTTCTTTAGGTAACATAAGCTAACATATATAAGTTTTTGTTTTGTTGGAGTTCAGTCATCTCAGTAGTGTCTAACTTTTCATGATCTCATTGGGAATTTTCTTGGTAAAGATACTGCAGTGGTTTGCCATTTCCTTTTCCAGCTCATTTTACTGATGAGGAACTGAGGCAAACAGGGTTAAGTGACTTGCCCACGGTCACACAGCTAGTAAGTGTCTGAGGTCAGATTTGATCTCAGGTCTTCCTGACTCCAGGCCTGGCTCTCTATCCATTGCGCCATCTACTTGCGTATGTATGCATGCGTGTATGTATATGTACACATAATACATAATCTATAATACATTCCTATGTATACACACATACACAACATAAACATAACATATATGTATAGGCCTGACATATGCCAAGCCATTCTCCAAGCCTAGCATGCCATCTTTCTTCATCTCCACCTCCAGAATTCTTAACTCAGGTGCCAACTCCTCCATGAAGCCTTCCATGAGCCCTCTTATTGTTAATGTTCTATTCTATCTCCATTTTCCTTGGACCATGCTTGTGCTGTGCATGTTGTGAAGCCTGAATAAAATGTAATCTCCCCAGGACAAAGACTTCATTTTTGTCTCTCTAGCCCCAGCTTCTATCAAAAAGCTTTGCATACAGTAGGTCCTTAATAAATGTTTGTTGAATTTCTTTGATTTATAAAAAAAATTTCCAATTTAAAATTTTGAATCTAAGAAAATCTGAAAAATATTTTGACTCCAGGAATTTTCTTCTTTAGTGAATGTGTGTATATACATATGTGTATATATATACTGTACATATACTCTACACATACAGTATGTGTACACAATATACTATACACATGCAGTATATGTTTGTATGCATATATATGCATATATTCACACACACATATATGTGTATGTATATATGTATATATATATTCACACTAAAGAAGAAAATTCCTGGAGTCAAAATATGTTTCAGGTTTTCCCAAATTAAAAACTTAAAACTGTAAGTTGTTTGATAAATCTAAATTGCATCTGGATTGGCTCCTGTCTGTGGCTTCCCTTCATTACTGCTTGTGTTTTGAATGGTCATCCTTATTTACTGGGGCTCTTTCCTTACAAAGTTAGGAGATGGCCAGGAGAAGTGGTTTTAAGCCAGAGAAGTCACTACAAGGAACAGAAAGAGAGGCCAATGCTATGATTTTTCCCTCTATTCATAAGCTACATTTTTTGCCAGCAGCCTTGAACTGGAGAGGAGAAAAGGTGTAATAAATGAGGCAGGGATGTTCTCTCAAACCCCTCCCCAATTTCTATCTCAAAGGAGCCAGCAACAATAAGGCAGAGAAAGAAGGGAAATGAATTAGCAAGTGAACAGGGCAAACTGCAAGCTCTGCAGCTGAGCGTTTCCCAGCTATGTAGAAAAATAACTGGTTCTGCAAGGTAATCAAAGGAGGTGCCACCCTGAATCAGAGGTCCACACTGTACATGTCTGATACTTTAAACGGTAGGATTCCTGGAAACTGTGCCCCATACCTTTCTATGCCATCAAGCTTATGACGGTGCTTTCTGGACATGAGGAGACCTCCTCCCCAGGCAGCCTGTGAGAGCAGAGAAAGAAGAGGGATGAGGGAATCAACTCCATATAAAGATTCCAAATTCTTTCCTAGGCTACTTGGCCATTCTTTAGCTTTCTTTAAATGTGCGGGCTCATATGGAAGATGAGACCCAGAAGTTCCTATGGCAAAATAAACCCACTGAAACCTTCATCTGGCAACAAGCTTTAATCTTTGCCATTTTTTAAAGAGGATTTTGCTGAGAGGTGTGTGAACCCAGGTTCCAGTCGTGCAAGTTAGTTGGTGGCAGGTGGGAGATCAGGTTAGTTAAGGTCTAAGTCTGTGGTAGCACCACAGATGTCCAAAGATGTCAGGTACTGACGAGGTAAAGATAAAAGACTCTCTTAGGTTGCTGCTTGAGTCAGGGACCACTTGGGGAGCACTGCAGAGTTGAAGGTGGCTGTTTCCTAGCTTTCACTGCAATGAGGTGTATCTTGAAATACCACTTATATGGCTGTCACTCAAGTGGTCCCTAAGGCAGTCACAAAATGTCCAGGCTTCTCTGAGGGTAACCGTGTAAAATACTAGGGGTGGGGGGAGGGCAGGGAGAGACAGAAATAAATCGTGTTTGTAATCTATGTTTTGTTATCTGCATCACAGCAGAAAAGACAGTCCAGGTATAAGGGGTTAAAAAAGATAAGCAGATGGAGACAGGCATACAGAGAGATACAGTGAGAAAAGAAAGAGAGAAGGTGGAGAAAGAGCAAGAAATAGAGTGAGAATGAGAGGAAGAAGGAAGAAGAGAAAAAGGAGAGAGCAGAGAGCAGAGAGAGAGAGAAGCAGGATGAGCAGGGGTATGCTGGAGCCAAATTGTTAAACTTTCAGTGTATGAGCATATGCACCTTGGAAATCAACAAATGCTACAGATCAGGACTTAATTCATTGTTTTGTTGACTGTCTAGACTTAAGAAAGCAATGGAAACATGTTAATGCAGATTAAATGTTAAAGTGGGTCATATGTACACTTTTTTTAAAAAGAGAGCTGGTTGTTAAATATTTACCAGCACAGCTTTGGGGGCAGAGAGAGAAAGAGAGAAGAAAGTAGAGAAGAAATATAGTTATATATTTGAAAATGTTCTCTGTTGTCCTTTAAGTCTCTTCAGAACAATTGAAGGGAAAACTCTCAGCTGGTATTACATAAGTGGTTCCATGTCATTGTGTTTCTAGATCAATCTTTTTAAGCAAAGGGCATATGAACAGCTGTGTTGACAGCAGGTAACCAAGCATGTGTGGCCACTTCCTTTATCCCTTCTCTCATGTTTTTGCCATCTAGGAGAAGTTTACCCAAATGAAGCTGCTATGGGAGAAGTTGGTGGACATAACCAAAGAAAATTTAAGTAGCTTTGGAGTGGGCCAGAGAAAACTAAAGAAACGCCAGTCTATGATGCCACTTTGGCTATTTGTCCAGACTGGTCAGGCTGTGGACCAAAGGAAAGCATGGGACTGAGAGGATGTGGACAGAACTGGGGGGTCGGAAACAGTCAGGGTTCTCTAAAAGAGCCATTTCCTTCACCTTGCTAGATTTGGGCTATTGTGTCCCAGCACTTACATCGACATGCAGCCAAAGGTTGTATTTGTGACATATATCTGCAATCTCAGGTATCGGATCAAAAGCTCCATACACAGTTGTGCCTGCAGTTGCGTTGACGTAAAGGGGAACATATCCCTATAGCATACGGCAAAAGACAAAAGAACTAATCAGTCTTTAACATTTTTCATTTGAACCAAGAGGTATGAGAGAGCTTGCTTTCAAATGATGGTGGCTGAATTGTTTGTATTCATTTTTTAACAACCTGAAGTGAATCATATTAAACTCAAAGATTGATAGAGGTAGAAAAAACCTTAGAAGCAATCTAGTCCACCCCCCTTCATTTTACAGATTGGGAAACTGAGGTCAGAAAAGAGAAGTGACTTGCCCTATGTCCAACATATTTTTCTAGGCTCATCATATACCATTCCTTTTCTTAATTTTTTTGTTGTTGCTAGGCAATGGGGTTAAGTGACTTGCCCCAGGTCACACAGCTAGTAAGTGTGTGAGGCTGGAACTGAGCTCAGGTACTCCTGACTCCAGGGCTGGTGCTCTATCCACTGAGCCACCTAGCTGCCCCTCCCATTCCTTTTCTAGGTTCCAGCTAGACTAGCCTATTTGCTTTTCATTATACATGATGCCCTTCTTTCATCTCTGTACCTTTGCACAGGCTGTCTCTCATTCCTGGAATGCACTGTCTTGTCACCTCTGTCTCTTAAAATTACTTGCTCTGCTGACAACTCAATTCATGTGCCATCTTCTACCAAAGACCTTTCCTAGTGCCCTCTGAAATTGCTTTATATTTCCTTATATGGATGTATTCTTTCTCCTGAAAAAATGTAGGGTTTTTGAGGGTAGGGACTGTTTCATTTTTGCTTCTGTATCCTCAGTGCCTAGCACATCATAGGAGCTTAGTAAATACTTATTCATGGTAAGGTTTGTATAAACTTATACAGAGTAAAATAAGTAGAACTAATTGCACAAAACACCAGATTACAACAATACAGATGAAAAGACCGACAAAGGAAGTTGATCTTCGAGTAACTGCAAAGTTAATGAAGGTTCCAGAGAACAGAATGAAACATATCTCTTCCCTCAAAGCAGAGAGGTGGGGGACTATCAGAACAGAATAGTATATGCATTAGCAGATATGAAATTCCTTTTCTCTTTTTCTTTTTTCTTTTTGTTCACAAGGGAAGGTTTAACCTATGTGGGTGTGGGCAAAGATCTTGATGAAAAGACAAAGGCATCAGATATAAAAACATTATTAAAAATGCTTCCAGATTGGGAGATTGAAGGTAAACACAGCTAAGTGACCAAGACAGAATTCATAAAATCATAGGGCAAAGGGTTGGAAAGGATCTTAGGGATCATCTAAATTTAGCTCCTTCATTTTCCAGATGAGGAAATTGAGGCACAGAAAGGTGATTTAGATCAGTGCTCTTCTTGCCACTACTTCATGCTGCCTCCTATACAGAGTGGCAAAACTGTTGTATGACATCATATAAAAACTTTGTGGGGTTTTTTTACATGGATGTTGTTCATCCTTCTTAGTTGGCATCCTTTCTAAAATATTTTTGGTTTATGACTATGTTAATGTAGTAGTTAGTTACAAAAATTCATTCATTTTCAGAACTTGAAAAATCGGATATATCAAAAATTTTGGTACAAATGAGAAAGGAAGAAATATTGTAATAGAACCGGAATGAGTTTAGAGACATCTGGGAGTGAAGAGTCCCTGTGCCTCTGTTCAAGCCATCCTCCCTGCCTAGCATGCCATCTTTTCTCATCTGCACCTCTCAGAATGCCTGCCCTCCTGTAAGGCTCAATTCAGATACCACCTCCTCCATAGAGCCTTCCATGAACCTTCCTGTTGTTAGTATTCTCCTCCATTTCCATTTTCCTTGGACTATATTCATGCTATGTGTGTGGAGACACCTGATTAGAATGTAATCTCCCTGAGGACAAAGACTTCATTTTTGTCTTTCTAGCCACAGCACTTAGCAAGTACTTTGCATATAGTAGGTCATTAATCAATGTATGTTGAATTGAAACTGTTGTTGAATTATTGCCCAAACTTTGGCAATCTCTTTCCTTCTCATCTATCTCTCTTCTACAGAAAGCCCAGTAAATAAATATAGTTACAGCAGAAGGCATGAATACTAAACCAAAACAACATTATTGTTAAATGGATTGACTGCAACATGGCAGGACCTTCATGAATACATCTGTTCGACAAGATTTTTCACTTAATAGAATTTGCCGAGATTGGATCAGCAAAGACCTGTTACTATGTGCCATAAGCTAGAACAGGAGAATAGCTTTGCTAAACAGACTCCAATGTTAAACTGAGATTGTACCAGTATAAAAAGCAAGTAAAATGTTAAATAAGGCTGTGTCTATAGGATACTAAAGCAAGCAGTCAATTGAGCAAGAACAAGAAAAAGGAAGGAAGGAAAAAAACAAAGAAAAAAGGAGGAAAGAAGAAAAAAGAAAAGAAGAACAAAGACAGAATTATTTGGCAAAATGTAGACAAAATAACTGATTTTGGGCTGAATTCTTCACTTTTCAATTGGCTTTTGTGGGCACCATGTAGAGAGACCTGTAGAGAATCAGACCAACAAACAGTGGAGGAAATAAATGTTAGAAGTAACACGAAATGATGTTTTGGGAGTCTGTACCTGTGATTTCATTGATGTATGGTACTTACAGTGGGAAAACTCCCTCTACCTGTATAATTCAGCACCTGTTATGCAACTTTTAATCTTAAAGAGTCCTCTGGGGACATTGACGGATTGGACTTTGTCATTATGTGTCAGAAGTGGGACCTGAATCCAGGTCTTCCCTGATTGTAAAGCCATCTCACCATCTACTGCAGAATGCTATTTCTCGTGAAATAATGTTTTAGTTTAATAATGGCTTTTAATTTCCAGAGCAGAAGTAGGTTTAAAAATGTAAACACTAGAGGTTATCTGTATTATATGGCTACAATGTCACAACTCACATTTACATAGCACATTATAGTTTAAAGCCCCTTTGTCACAATGAAGGTCATGCAGATACTACCTACCTACCTACCTATCTATCTATCTATCTATCTATCTATCTATCTATCTATCTATCTATCTACCTACCTATCTATCTATCTATCATCTATCTAAATATCTATCTTTACATCTATTTATCTAGACAAGCAACTGAGACTCACAAAAATTAAATGACTTGGCCAAGATCATACAGTCACGGCTTGGACTCAAATCCAAGACTTCTAATTCAAGGTCCAGTGCCCTTTCCATGACACCATACTACAAAAATTTTTCCTTATAACAAACCTATAAGGTAGGAATATAAGATAGGTTTTAATATCCTTTTTTTTTTTCAGTTGAGGACACTGAGACTTAGGGAAAATAAATAACTTGCTTCCAGTCACATGTGGACAAGTAAGTATTCAGGTTTGGTCTCAAACTCAGGACTTCTGATTCTTGTCCAGACGTACCTTTTTCTTGACTTCAAGAATTTTTGCCTCCAAATCAGCTGGGATGATTTTCCCCCTGTAATTGTCACAGAAGGAGATAGATTTTTTTAAAAGAAGCATCAACAAGGCTGCATGTGAAGGAGCTTCAGATGTAGGAGAAAGTAATTTAATCAGATATTTTCACCAGCTCATTAGCAGCTTGGCACATTGTACTGAGCCAGCCCTTAAGCACAGTAAAACAAATTTAACAGATGAACACATTTAATACATCAAAAAAGTTAGCAGTCACCCTCCCCTCCTACCTTTCATTGCATTTTATCAGAATCACATTGTCTGTTCCAAAGCCAAGTGCAGCCCCTGCCTTCTTTATCGAATAGTGACTCTGCAACAAAAAGAGCCATGTATTGACAAGGGAGGCATTCCTTTAGGATAGACTATGGTGCATAAGCAAGAGCTTCAACTCACGTGTTCTGAGGTAAAGAGGACCAGTTTGGGAACAGCTGCCATGCCTTTGGTTTTGACTTCTGGGAAGTACTTATAGCGAGCAGCCATGATGCTGTACATGTTGGATATAGCACCCCCTGTAACCAAACAAGACATATGTTGAGGAGAATTTGTCATTGTGCTTACTATTTCCCCTAACAACAAAGTCAGTGCTTGAGTTTCGAGATAAAGGGAGGTAAGAGTGGGAAGGAATGACATCTCAGTGGATTGGGATACTCTGGGCTATCCCCTAATTACTTTAGCTCCTTTATTGTGGCCACTATGGTTCCAACTTCTGTCTTCCCGTCTGTATTGGGGGGTAGAAGTCTTCATCATAGAACTATTAGATTCAACCTTACAAATTGGCTTTTTGTTCTTCCACAGTGGCCTTCCTTTCTCAAATTGAACAGAAGTGGAAGAAGGAGTGATGGCAGTACTAATCAAGAAGTAGAATCTTCCTGTTTTCAATCTGAACTTGATTCAAAGACCAATGACTCAATCAATAAATCAATCAATTCTTTATTGAGCACATATTATATGTCAAGCACTGTGATAGTCTGAAGTTGTTTCCGTGGCAAAACACTACTTCCTCAAAGTTCTTGCCACCTGAATTTTCAGTCCCCTGCCTACTTGCCATTACAATGGAAGCTCCTTGAGGGAAGAGACTATTTGTCATTGTATCTCCAGTACTCAGCACAATGCTTTGAACACAGTAGGTGCTTGATAAATGTGTGTGGGATGACAATGCCTTGTCTCCTCAAAGAGCACTTAAATGGCTGAATCATTTATATTTTTGTTTGAAACTAAATGATTTTAGAAAATTTAGATGAAAACAGAACCTGAATGTGCACAGAAAGTAAAACCAGAAACTGAAGCGATCATACAGTTAATTTAGATAAACACCCACCTTTCCCCCCCCCCACTTATTTCAACTATCTGGATATTACAGGTTCATTAATTATCTGTCTAGATTAACTAGATGTTTACAACAGAATAGTTGTGTATTCTTCAAAGTGCATATTTTACTTTACAAACACAATTTTTAAAATTTACAATCTACAGCTGCAATTTAAAGGTATAAAATTGACAACTGCACTAAGACTTTTGGGACACCACATATAAACCCTACCCAAACCAGGGTACAGTAAACTCATAACTTACTCCCTAAGAACACTTGTGCTTGTTTTAAAGAATCATTTTGTGTTTACATAAGACTATCAGATCTACCATTTTGGACAAAAATCCAATATTCATTAAACTGGTTTGATTCTCCACCCCCCCCCCCCATTGACTAGTAGTTTGACTTCACTGCTTAAACTGATCAGTTGGTTAGGCATTATATAGATGGACATCTCTCAAAGCAGGAAGTCTGGAGAACTGAAAAACTTCAGGAAAATTTCAATATTCTTCCACAAACCTTTTGGATGCATTTTGTGAAGTATCCTCACCCAATCCAGGGAACAAAGCTCTAAATGTTGTGGCTTTAATGAGACAAAGAAAAATAAACCTACCAGGTGAAAATATGCCATCACCATCCTTACTTGACCATCCAATGATTTCTCGCATCTTCCTAAGTGTTATTTGCTCCATGAGAACAAACACTGGGGCAATTTCATATGTAAACCTTAAAAGACGGTGGGGAAAAAAGAAAATGAATAATGAGGACAAACCACTCATTTCAGGAACTCACTTAGAGGAAGTTGTATTTCTTCAGAAAGATCTTCCAAATCTCTAATAAAATATTTTTATTGGAGATAGAGCAAGTCACCAGTCATAAGCTGTCAGACAACATTAAATTAATTATCAGGATGAATTTCCCAGATAATTAAAATTCTTCACTTCAATCTGCCAGTGTAGACAGTACCTGAAAACACTAAACATTCATACCTTCTCCAAGATACCGGTACTTGTTTTAAATACTCTGTCAGAACCTACACAGAACTACTAGAAACTACTGGAGCTACTATTTTATTGACCAGTCAATTTAACCAATAAATTTGTCGTGTTGATTTTTTTCCCCTACTGGATTTACCAGAAGTTTGACTGAACTGCGTAGTGGTTCAGAAATTGTAGAGACAAAGCCTCTGTAAGAATGCAGCAAATATAATGGTTTCTTTTTCTTTTAAAAAAAATCCCATCGTGTGTGTGTGTGTGTGTGTGTGTATGTTGGCAGGAAGACTGGAGAATAAATTAGCTTTAGGAAAATTTATGATTTATTCACAAATTATTTTATGAAAATTTTTTGTGTTCCCATTGAATCTAAGGAGGGACAATTATATGAAAAAAAATTAGATAAACCTGCCAGCTGACGGTATTCTCTTAAAATCTTTTTTTTAAATGATCACTAAGAGAATAAGAGAGATTCCTATTGGAATAGTTGGATATGGTCCTACCTGCAGGCATGGGAATGGACTAGGCAACATCTCTGGGTCCCTTTTAGCCTAAGATTATATGACAATGCATATCTTCATTATAAATATATTGAAAGTTATATATAAAATTAGATTGCAAAGAAAAATTTTCAATCACTGCCAATTTCATACTTACATAATATGAAATTTTGATGCCAAAAATCCTAGGGTGTTTTAAAAAAATCGTGAACATCAGAAAGCTAACTGTGAAAATGATTAGAAATATTGGCTTGGGTTTTAAAAATCTAAGCGCAATTATCTATGTGGATTTTTTTCTACTGATAATCCCCAAGGACAATTTTGTTTCGACAGTACCATGTAGTCGATATCTGTCAAGAGTAATTATAAAGGATGATTTTCTAATTACCAATTACAAATAACAAGAAGGCAGTCAACTGGTATTTCTATCTACTCTAGGCAAAGGGCATCAGATGGCCTGGCATGTGGTGCTTGTCTTATGCCAAACTGAATCTCAGGCAGTAGGCTATGAACTACAAAGTGATCCCCGAAGAGAGGCAAATGCTCCCCTTGATCCAGTTATGGAAATAAGTGGATGTCCCTGAGTCCAGGGCCTAAAAAAAAATTAAGGTAGGTCTAATGAAAATTAAGCAGCAGGCCTAAAAGATATTTAAAATGCTCTGTCGCTCTTTGCTATTCGTTTTGTCTAGTCTCTTTGAGCATCGGTGTCTTTGCAGTAGGCTCTGATTATTAGCTGAAGGTTGATGCCCGAGTTCTCTTAGCCTTGTGATGTGGGGAGCAAGAGCGGGTGAATCTGTCTAGGAAGGGGAAGCTGCAACCTCAGTTAGTGAGGGGCGGAGCCAATGAGAATGTGGGCCAAGTGGAATTTTTGCTGGCCTTAACATTTTTTTTAATGTCTGAAAAGCCATTTTCAGACACAAGATACAAGAAACAATTCTCATGTCCAAGAGTAGGGGGAAAAAAACCAATCAATTTAATGAAAGTTATAGCATTGGGGAAAAATTATTGCAGAGAGCTCTCATGGCATTTCTGCTGGTGGCAGAATTTTTTAACCAGAAAGAATCTATTCACCACTCTTAGTTTGACACTGAACTGCTTAGGAGGAAGAACACTTGGTTGTCATCTTTTTAATTACCATCACCTCTGGAGGGCCACAATCATGCTTTGGTCCTGCTCTGAGCCCCATCATCATGGCAACCAACAATCCCTTATGTCTGATGGCATGCTGGAGACTGGCTGTCACAAAGGAAGAAGAAGAGAGAAGGGTTCCTGGTTTAGCCTGTGCTATTTAAAGTACCAAGTTGCAAACTCATGATGTGTGACATCACCGAACAAGTGAGCTGGCAGAGGGTGTATCTGAGCTTCCAAAAACCCATTGGGAGGATGAACTGTTTTAACACTGTGGAGATGCTGGCATGACTGCTTGAGCTGGCCACAGTGGGTACACTAGATACTCATGAAACTTCTTAAGAAGGCTTGTTAGAATTGACCTGTGGTAAGGCCAGGAACAAACAGTCAGAAACCCAGGAGATCAGAAACTTATCAAGGACTGGTCAGCCTTGACCACAGATTGCATTAGCAGCTGAGCCAAAGTCAAATGATCAGCTAGGAACCAGATGGACAAGGGAGAAAGGACAGGAATGGGATGTCGTGGTTTGTCCAGCTTTTTGCCCTTTGCCTTTTGCCTGGCTTTAGACCAGGTCTAATTAGCTTCTGCTTTGCCTGAGCAGGCGATCTTTCTGTCCTACTTGCTTAATCAGGTGGATCAGGTACAAGTTTGCTCATGCTGACTTCTGGCCTGCCCCTGCCCTTGGACCGTGGTGGTTAGCCAGCACTCTTGGGATTTGGAAACAGAGGTTAGGAAGTAGAAGATCAACTTATACTATAACATTAACATCGTAAAAATGAACAATTCTGGAAGACTTAAAAACTCTGATCAGTGAGTGATCAACCATGAGTCCAGGGGATCAGTGATGAAAAAGGCTACCCACCTCCAAAGAGTGAGGTGATGGATATGCAGAATGAGGCACATGATTTTTGGAATGACTAATATGGCAATTTGTTCTACTTGACTATAATATTGGTTAGAAGGTTTTTCTTTTTTGTTTTTTTGCAATGCAGAAATGGGAGGGAGAAAAAAATGCTTGACATTTGAAAAAAAAAAAAGAAATTTGCTTAAAAAACTGAAAGCTTAGAGAATTCAATAACAAGAGCACCTGGTACCAACCCATTCTGCCTCCTACTCTGTGGCTTCTTCCCAATACCCAAGTCTTACAGCCAGCTAAGGGTTACAATGGATAGAACACCTACAGGCTTTGGTTCAGGAAGACCTCGGTTCAAATCTGACTTAGACAGTTACTAGCTGTGTGACCATAGGCAAGTCACTTAACCTCTTCCTGCTCAGTTTCTTAATCTGTAAAATGGGATAATGATAATACCCAGGGTTGCTGTGAGGATAAAATGAGATAATTGTAAAGTGCTTAGTATAGTACACCACATATAGTAGGAACTTAATAAATGCTTGTTTTCTATCTATCTTACTCTGATGATATGATCTGTCTAATTCCATGCCTCCTAATTCCTGATTTTAGCTATAACTTGCTTGAAAACTCTTATGTGGTCCTGATGAGACACTTCCCCTTCAGGTTAGCTCTCTGTCTTTTGTTCCTGATCTCAGTTCTGCCCTTACTCAGTATCTGGCAGGCAAGTCCAGTTCCCCTCTAGGACAATGTTGTACCTTCTTGACCCTGATGCCAGCTCTGATATCCCCATAAGAAGGTACCATATATGGTTAGAAGGGCCTCTTTCTGCCTGGCTTCTGATAGAGAAGGTCCCCTGAGGGACAGGTGGGAACAAATACAGACATCAAGAGATCAGAATTCAAGTCAGGATCCTGCAGCCAGTTATACTGTCAGAGGATAAGGTGGGAGGAGTAGAGAACAAGAAATCTGGACCTGAGACAAAAGAAACAGGTTGAAATACAGGAACTGGGCCCTAAAAGTAAGAAATGAGCTGGCTATAGTTCGTATCAGAACGATGCTGAGGATAGCCTTAGTTTCTTTATATGCTCATTGGGAAAGATGAGTAAACTCTACTGTACTGGCCCAAATATCTGGGGTGGCTTTCCTACCAAAAGATTATATGTAGTCCTTTCTCTGATCTTTCCATCCTAGGATCAAGGTGGAGGGTGACTCATCTACCGTACTTCCCTCAAGGAGTAATGGGCCCTAAGGGAATTTCTTCCCCACTAGTTTTTACCACTTCATAAAATTTAGAATATATTGTCCAGATTTGGGGGGAGGGAATAGAGCTGGTCAGATCACACCTGTATTGTGGTGTCCACTTCTGGCTACCACAATTTAAGAACAAAAATAACAAGCTGGAATGTTTTCAAAAGAAAGTGAACAAGGTAGTGTGAGGATTCAAAACCATGTCATTAGAAGGTTCAGAGGTTGTTAAACCTGGAGAAGAGAAGGCTAAAAGGAGGCAAGATATTGCCTTCAAATATTTTAAAGGGTGTCACGTGGAGAGTGAGTGGGCTTCTTCTGTATGATTCCAGTTAGAAGAACTAGAACCTTGTAGTGGAAGGTATAAGGGGACATGTTTTGGCTGAGTTTAAGGAAAATCTTCCAAATAATTAGAGCTTCTAACTTGGAATGGAGCATTGGCAATGTGGGTATGAAGACTTGGTCTATCTGTTGGGGTGTCACGGAGGAGATCACTGTATAGGAGGACTAGATGACTTCGGAGGTCCCTTCAAACTTTGAGATTTTAATATTATCTTTGGGGAAATTAACAAAGAGATCAGAGAGTACTGGGATAAGAAGGATGGGGCAGTGAATGAAGAAGAAACACACAGGAGGCTCCTGTTATTCTACTGTCTTGGCCAAACCAGAGTTGACCACCTTCCCCACTTTTCCCTGGCAGGGTAGTTTCTCCTAGGTAATAAGAGCTATTGATAATGTGCACTTTTCTGACAAAATGTAGCTAGGCCTACAACATCATGGCAGCTTGCAGAGAAAATATCTTGAGTGAAATTTCTATGAAATTATTGGCCTGGCTACTCTGAATTCCTAATGAAATAGTGCAGTAGTTATGAGTGAGCTTGTCACTAAGGATGAGTATTGTCATCAAGTATTTGTAGGTAGATACAAAGATACAAGGGCAGTTAGGTGGTGAAGTGGATGTATTGCCAGGTCTGGAGTCAGGAAGACCTGAGTTCAAATTCAGCCTCAGGTATTTACTAGCTCTGTGACCCTAGGCAAGTCACTTAACCCTGTTTGCCCCAGTTTCCTCATTTGTAAAATGAATGGGAGAAGAAAATGGCAAGGTGCTCTAGTATCTTTGACAAGAAAACCCCAAATGGGGTCACAAAGAGTGGGACATGATGGAAAAATGTCTAAACAACAACAAAGCTACAAAGCAGTCCTAGAAAACCAAATGCCCTTGGAGAGGAGGGAACCGTGCCCTGTTAGTCTGAATCCCTCATGGATTTGCCTTGGACTTTTGGCTTAGGAGTCTGCATCCTGAAACAGAGGGCTTACACTGATGGGGTGAATAAACTGAAGTAAACTGAAATAAAAGGATATCCTTTTCTGTGCTAACAATGCAGAAATGTCATGGGTGGCCATTTTAATGATGTCATAGGGGTGTACACTTTACAAACCTACATAGATAATGGAATATGGTCATTGTTCTTCATAGTAATTGCCTACCAGACGAAAATGTAGCTCAGGTAACGAGTGCATCATTGATGCAAACCCTACCTGGAAAAGCTTGATCCTTTTTCCCATCTTTTCCCAGAAATGTTTTGAACACTGCATCCAGATGGAAAAGATGACTGTCAGCAGGGAGGTAATTCCTCCCAAAAGAACTTGACTGTCCTGCCACATTTCACGATCCTCCCATAGAACTGGCTTACAATTTCTAGATAATAGTTATTACCCCTTCTCTAGACAATGCCTTGTCTTGAGAACTGGCAGAAGCTATTTTACTATTTTAAATAGCCTTCTCTATTGATCTGTTGGAATCGTATCATATTTTTAAAATCTCCACTCTGCAGTACAGCTGCAATTACCATGTGCCATTAAAGGGGTTTGCTTTGACCTTCAATGGCTGAAATATATTTTCACATTTCATGGTTCAATTTAGATTAGGAAGGAGGAGAAAAGGACTTTGATTTGTGTGATTTTCTGGTTAAAGGAAAAGCATTTGAAGAAGATATTTGGGTCATAAATTTTCAGAGGTAAGCTAATGTTAATTACTTAGACATTTTAGCCAGATGTGTTAGGAAAAAAACCCAGTTAAAATGTTGACAAAATAAGCACTAGTCCCTTAAGGACAGTCAAGTAAATTAATCAACGGCATTAAAAAAGGCACTTGTGCTATATGGACAACTACCCACTGATTTCAGGAGCCCTTTGAATATTTCAAAAGATCTGAGATTAGTAAGGACGTGGGTACTCCCTCCACCAATATAGATAGTTATCCCTCCACACCTTAGTGAATGCTCACTATAGTTGCTGTGGCCCCTCAAAAAATATACTTGCCAGGTGTCCATTCTTCCAGTTATGTGGTTCTCTAAACTTAGCTTGACTCATCTTTGGGCAGATGATAGGCACAGTCTACTTGTCAGGCCCATGTTGGAAGACTTCCCAATTTAGTAGGACCTGTCAGAACTTACACTCCATTAGCATACCTTTTTAGAACCTAGGGTTACCTCCAAACCACAAGAAGATATCAAAGTATTTCTTTGAGGAGTTGGGTTTTAGTACACTCATATTTTTGGAGGCAGCTTGGTGGCTCAGTGGATAGAGCACTGGGCTTGGAGTCAAAAAGACCTGAGTTCAAATCTGACCTAAGACATTTACTGGCTGTGTGACCCTAGGCAAGTCACTTAACCTCTGTTTGCCTTAATCCACTAGAGAAGGAAATGGCAAACCACTCCAGTATCTTTGCCAGGAAAACCCCATGGATGGGATAGAGTCCATGGAATTGTGAAGAGTCAGACGTGACTGAATAACAACAAATTCATATTTAGCTTTCTAATGAAATAATTAGTTTTTTAAGTGTAACTGATGCTTTAAGTAGGCAGCATATACTATGATTTTTAAAAGTTATTAATTACTATAGCCAATTTTTGTCTTTTATATAATTATATAATGAATCACAAAGTAATAGATTCAAAGATGACAAGGTGAACAAAAGGAGAATTTTGTATGGGATGGACATTAAAATAACAATGTACCTTTAACTTGAGTTTCATGTGTCTGAATAGCATGCCTCATCAGTCACATGATTAAACCTCATTATGTTAACCATTACCCACAGATGGGGCAAATTAAAGCTCCTTTCATTTTCCATTTTTCAGATCAATGTCATCACTCAGGACATATGTCACTGAAGACTTTAATATTTAGACACTTTCTCATGTTTATACCAGTTTAAAATAGCAAGCTATTCAAGAATATTTGTTTAATTAATAGAAACTTGTCTTCTGTAACTGGTCAGTATTTTGACTCACAACAATTTTACACTTTTGAAACACAGGCAAATCAATACACAATTTCAAAATGGCCTTAGGGTGTTGTGGACGGTAGTAGTTTGGTCTTGAAGTACAACAAAACATCTTAAGCTTGAGTAGCCTGCATTCCATCTTGATGTCAAACAGGACTTTCTTTTTTAAATCATACAACCTTCCCACCTAAATTCATTTTTCTGAATCTCCTTTACTGTAAATACAAATGCTGAGAATCTTAACAAGAATTAAGCCCATCAGATAATACAAATGATTCTCACTTGACTATTAGGTACTGTTTCCAATATACATTAGTGAATGTTGCAACCATTTTGGAGGCACAGAACTATTATGGTATTGATAGAAAAGGAAAATGCTCCATTGGCTATGAGTCCTACCCAGAAAAGAAGGCTAATTTGTAATTTTTCTTGATTGATAGAGCAGAGGTGTCAAACATGTAGGCTTCATCACTCCCAAATTTGATCAAATGAAATTGAGAAATATTTAACAAAGTTTTAGAAAATAGAACGTAGATAAAATGTAGTCTTCTAAGACAATATGTAGCCCACAGGAATCCTTAATGTACAGTTTAATAGTCCCATTTTTATGAATTTGACACAGCTGGAACAGAGGATAAATGTATAGAGAAGAAACTTATGGATCATTGCTGGATGGCCATGGAGGTAATAATTGCCCATCAGACAAATTAAATTTAGAGCTTTATACAAACTTACAAAAATAGAGAGCAATTTTAAGGCTGTGCCTACAAATATGAATAGGTGTGGAGAAAAAAGTAACACTCAGTTAAACAATCAGTTGCTCCACAATCAGTTTGATTCAATCAAACAACTGATCTAGTTTTTTTTTCTCCAAAATGATTGGAATGTATAGTAAGAACCTAAGGTAGAAAGATCTCCAGCTTTAAGGATAATGGTCAAAGGCTTTGGTTATCAATAGGAAAATGAATTCTAGAGAGCAAGAAAGGTTTTTTAATTACCCTCTCCTGGTGATATGGGCACTTTTCCACAGTTTCAATTTAAATAATAATCTCTAGAGTCACCATTTCTTTCAATCATTTTGTCACTGAGATACATAAATTCAATTCAATTCAAAAAGTGTTTATTGAGTGGTAATGATGCTAATGATAGCTGACATTTATACAGTCATTAAAGTTTGCAAACTGCTTTATACCTATTATTTCATTTGGATCTCATAACAACCATTTGAGGTAGATACTACCTACAGATATTATTATCCCCATTTTACAGATGAGGAAAATGAGAGTGAGAGAGTTTAAGTGACTTGCCCAGGGTCACGGAGTCAAGGAGGGCCTACTGCATACCCAGCACTGAAAGGATATTGACTCTAGATTTAGAGGATCTGGGGTCAAATTCCATTTCGCTGTTTATTAGCTATGTGACCTTGGATGAATGACTTAATCTCTCTAGGTCTCAGCTTCTTCATCTATGTAATGAGAGGATTGACCAAGATAACTTTTTGAGATTCCAACTCGGGATCTAAAGAGTTAACATACATGAAGTGTTGTGCAAACCTTAAAATGCTACATGTTATTTATTATTATGATATCTATGACTCTATGACCAAAATCACATGCCTAAAGGATTTTAGAGCAGAAAATTCCCCTAGCAATCTTTGCCAATTTATAATAAATTAATAGGGTTTAGTCTCTAAAAACACAAATTAACAGTAAAAATCTATCAATATTGCTTATTAGAAAAGAAGAAAACGGTATAGGACTTACATATTGGTGTTAGCAGTTGATGTCAGCCACTCACCAGCTAAGCCAATGATATCTAATCCAGTAGAGAGTTGGTTGAAAAACCGAGGATGACCTGGTGAGAGAAGAATAGCAGATACAAATCACTTTGGGCCTGGGTGTTCATACAGTCACAGGAACGTGAGGATTTCCACCTCTGGACAGAGAGCTGATGGGCTCAGAGTGCAGATTGAAGCATATTTTCTTTCTTTTTTCTTTTTTTTCTTTTCTTCCTTCTTTTTTTTTTCAGACACAGCCGATGAGGGAATTTGTTTTGCATGACCATATATATATTTATTTGAATTTATTGGATTTATTTGGACATATTGGATTTTTTTTTTCTTGTTTTCTGGCCAAGTGGGGGAGAGGGAGAAAGGATAGAGGGAGAAAATTCGCAACTGAAAATAAAATTGAAAGATAATTTTTAAAAAAGAACACAAGGATTGCCAAATGAGGTCAGACCCATGATGTATCATCCCCTGTACTCCATCATGAACAATAGCACCAAAAGGCACACAATGGGAGGGCATAGTTGTCCCCTCTGAAATCAAGCTCAAAGCTTAGTGATATTCCACAAAACAGCTTGAAAACTGGGGCAGTTTTAAAATAAAGCAGAAACTGCTGCATTATAAAGGCAATCACTCTGCTTCTTGTGACTGGTGATTTTGGTTTGCAAATCTTTCTCACGTTAAATTTCCCAGTGCAGAAACAAGATGAAATACCCTTGGGAACTTAAACTACTCCTTCAATTTCAATAGAGTGTGACCTCTTTCAAAGCCCCTTGGGTCGAGATGAGATTCCATGTGAGTCAGCTTTGGACTAATCTAGCTCCTCCTGTGACTGATTCAGAAGGCGAACCCCTTGGTGAGGGAGAATGGTGCTGGGACCTGGGAAAAAGTCTTGGCTTTGACGCTTCCATCATGTAACATGACTTTGGACCAGTTAGTTAGACTCTCTGTGTCTTATGAAGCTAAGTCATCCAATCAAGCCAGTGAGTTCTGTCAAAAACCACATCAAGATGCCAAATGACTGATTTACTCAACTTTTCACTCAAGTTGGCCTGTGTTCAGGTCCTGTATAGACAGAACCTCAGTATCCTTCATCTGGAAAATGGTGACAGTAATAATGGGGACAAATAATGGAGATGATAAATGGAGTTAATAATAAAAGTCCAATGACTTAAATATTGTTGTGACTGTGAATTTTGAATTACTATTCATAAAAGACTCTAAAGTCCTTTGTTCTCATAATACCTTTATTAACATGCCTGATACTAAAGCCCTTTAGTACAACCATTGCCTTGGTCAATTTGGCATTCATAGCGAGGAAAATAGTGGTGGCAAAGATATTGAAAGTTGATGAAATTATGAAATGAATGTAATCAGCCCCTGAGGATCTCTTATACTGAATTCCACAGCAGTAGGCACTGACCTGCTCTGCTGTCATTCATTCAGTCACCAAGCATTCCCTAAGTTAATTATTTCCTATTTATGCTCTATGTAGCTTGCTTTGTTTGCATGTTTCACCCCACCCCCCCCTTAGGTTGTAAGCTCCTTGAGGGCAGGGATTGTCTTTTGCTTCTTTTTGTATCCCCAGCATTTAGCACAGGGCCTGTCACATGATAGATGCTTAATAAATGTTTATTGATTAGTTGATTGGAGAATAGGGAACTTCCCTTAGGAGAGACAAAGAGAAGACGATTTCAGCTAGGTACCCTTGGGTAGCGCATAGGAAGCTGGTCTCAGAAGGAAGGTCTGGGTTCAAGTGCCTTGTCTGACACATACTTGATTGTGTGTCCATAGGAAACTCACTTCACTTCTCAGATCTCTAGGCAACCTTCTGACTGTAAGCTTCAGAAAAGGTATAATTCTGCGCAAGTAGTAGAAGATTCTCAGTAGTATGTAGCTCTCTATACCCATGAAATTACAGGTCTGGTTTAAAAAATAAAAATTTGTTTGGCAATGGAAAATAGCATAAATGTAAAATGATATATTTGAATGTCTGAGCTGATTCCACTGTAATATAGACATCTCCTTGAACATGTCATTCACTCATTTAGACATACACCTAGTCATCTGGGCTCACCCTGGAAGCATTTCTTAAATCATAACCTTCTGTACCCAATAGTTCCCAGGAGAAAAAACCTGGAAATTCATGTGATGTATAAAAATTTTAATAAAGGAATTCATCTAATTAAGCAGGACCAGATTCTAACAGCTCATTTAGACAACTCTAGATTGTCTAGGGCAAATATCCCATGAACTGCAGAGAGATCTCACTCAAGTATCACTACCCATCAGGTGACCCTCTGCTTATCCAAGTACGAAATCATATTTAGATAATTAAGAACACTCCTTTGAAAAATTACCAGTCACCATTTGTATCAAAGTGGATGACCAAATCATCAACCAAACTTCAAGCGTATCTTGACACCCTTTAGAAATTTTTCAGTGGCTAATGTGGAAATTTGTATGACCATACACATATCTGTAATAGGTTTGGTTTTTCTTGCTTTCTCATTGAGGGAGTGGCTGGGTGAGAGAGAGAATTTGGAATTGAAAAAAAGGAATAAAAAAGTCCACTTGAAAATAAATTTAAATTAAAATAAAATATTTTCAGAATCAATGTGGAACAAAAAGCCAGATAAATGCAAAACTCTGAGTCACCAAAAAGTCACGCTTCAATCAATTTTAAAAGGGGGGGGTGGAGGGTGGGGAAGGAGGGAAGAACACGTGTACATTAAACCCACCGGTTATCTTCAAACCTCACTTTAGCCAATGAAAGCCAAAGGTCCCATTAAACCTTTACTAGAGTTTTTATCATAAGTAGCTATGGTGGCCCACGCCCATCATCCCTGTTGCTGGGGAGAGGGAGGCTGGTGGATCACTTGAGTTCAGGAGTTCTTAGCTGTGGTTCGACTAAAGCTGATGGGGTGGGCCATGACCAATATGGTGAGCCCCACACTGTGCCTAAGGAGTGAGCAAACTGGCCCGAGTTAGAAAAACAAAATTAGTCAAAGCTTCTGTGCTGATCATCAGTGAAGCAAGGCTCAGTAGAGGCGGCTATACTTCTACCCTGGGCTACAGAGACCCAGTCTCCACCCCCTCCCCAAAAGATTTAACGTTTTCTTGTTTTTAGTGAAGGTAAGATGTGGCAGAGACTCTACCTTATGGTGAAATGGCCCAAAGCCAGGCAGCAGAAGGAAAAAAAAGTCAAAGTAAGTCTACGATGCTAGAAGACACCAAAACAATGACCCAATGGTTCTTCTGGAATGAGGAGTATCCCAAGACAGGGCACTGTGTTCAAGCAAAGAACTGGAGACTGAAAGAAAAGTATACTCTGCAGCTTTTGAATGCCTCAGGTAAACTGGAAAGGCCAGAGAGGTCTGCAAGAAAGACTGTACTGACCAAGCTGCCTCATTTAACCAGAGGTGGCAATTAGGAACAGAGAACGTGCTGCTGACAACCTTGGGCAACTCTCCAAATTCTACCTCCTCCTCCAAGCACCTGGAATGTGGATCTTTGGAGAACCCGTATAGGCAAAGCCTCTCCTTTTTGGCACTTTAGATGAATTCAGCTAACCGGATAGCACCAGGAAACTTAACTTCAACTCACATGAATTTATACAGAGTGAAGTGAGCAGAAACAGAACAATTTATACAATAACACTGGAAAGATTTAAGAACTCTGATGAATGCAAAGACCAGCTATGATTCCAAGGGACTGATGAGAAGGAAACATGCTACCCAACTCCTAATAGAGAGGACATGTACTCAAGATGCTTCTTTGAATATTCATTTTGTTATGTGGGTTTGTTTTGTTTTGTTTATCTTTTTCAGTGAGGGAAAGGGAGATGAGAGGGAGAGAAAGTGAGAAAGTTTTTGTTCACTGAAAATAATATTTTCAATAATAATAATAATAATAATAATAATAATTTTTTAAAATTACTCTTTGATTAATGAGAGACTCACAAAGAATGTCCAATGCAAGGCTGGGTCTCCAGATATCTACCTAGCCAGATATGCATTTTGTTTCCCCTTGATCTCTGGATGGATGCGAATATGTCTCCATACACCCTGTGAGCCACAAGACCACTGACTTTTGATATGAGCTGGTTGGGTTATGCTCACAAAGAACAACAGTAATGAGCCAATACCTCCAACTTCTGCATTGTCTTTGGTTGCTTTGGCTGCATTGTCTCCAGGTTACTTCTAGGGGACATTTAGCTTGAAGGAGAGATTTTTGGCTGAGAGCGAATAGGTTTTTTGAAGAGATAATAAGAAGGCTTGATGAGTTTGATTTCATAAATTGGGTAACAGAAAAAAATAAACAGGAGTCTGAGTCCTACCCAGTGATAGCAACAGGGAGAGGAGGAGTCAATAGAAAGAGTGACGAAACCACAGAGAAAAAAGAAACAAGAAGAATCAGTCTCCTATCTGTTTAATGCATTGCATGGCACCAAGTATAAGCAGATGCTTAACTTGCTACCTGATTTTTGACAAAGATGATGGACTTAAGATGCAGAATAAGATATACATTTTTAGATGCACATAATGTGGGAAATTTGTTTGCTTGGCTATATATACATACATATATGTGTATGTATGCACATATGTATGTAAATTGAAAAGGCTTTGTTTTTCTTTTTCTTTATCCCTATTGGAGAATAAGTGGAAGGAACAGGAGGGGATAGCGTTAGGGTAAGAAAAGAAAAAAAGGAAAGAAAAGATATGCTTTTCTTTAAAGAAAGAAAATCAGAAGAAAAGTCAGAAAGAAGGCCATATAAGTAGGATAGCTTTGAAAGCAACAAGTTGATTTTATCATATACTTTAGAAGAAAAGCAAGCTATACACAATAGAGACCTGCAGTTTCACATACCATCTCATTTTTCCTTTTCTTTCCATACACTATGTATATGAAAATGATCATTCTGTTTAAATATATTAAAAATTATAATTAATGAAAATATAAATAAATACTTAAGTTTTTGTGTTGCTATTGTTTTTGTGGTTTAAACAGTGATGAACTGGCCAGAATCAGTTGATTTCCGCCAAGCAGACTAGGAAAAAATTCATGATACCAGAAAGCCAGGGAGAACCTCCAGAAGAATTTACTCCTTCCCCATGATTCTGACAGTTCATGTCATTCCCGCAGGCTACCTGGCATGGGACTGATTGCCACTGAGATAGCTTGATCTTGCCAATCCTTCTTTAGAGCTATGTGTACATGTGGGGATGGGGGCGGGTTGAGGAAGAGACTAAGGAGGATAGAGTTTAATCTCCATGTAGCTGCCTGGGACTCTACCTGTTCGAACTCCATACTTCAGAGTATCTCTGCAGTCCACAAGGATCTGCTCCAAAGACTCAGGGTGGTCAGAAAGCTCTAGGTTGAAGCCCTCCATTCCTTCTAGCAACTGATGTGGGTGGTGGAAGTCCAGCACCTTGGTGGATCTGTCAAATGTCTTCCGAACATAGTTGAGGAGGATATCCACCACCTCCAAAAGGAACTGTACAGTTTGCTCTTCCCCATTCTTGGCCGGAAGCAGGTCTGAAAGATGAAAGATAGCAAAGAGTTAATACCTAATTGATGCTTCATGCCTGGGAACCAGCAATATCTTTCCCATTCCTTCCTGTCTGCACCACCATCCCCAACTCTCAGACTCATTTTGGTCCTAGGACCATCAACCCTCAGCTAGGTAACGTACTGGGTAGAGTGCTACATAGAGTAAAGAAGAACTGAGTTAAAATCCTATCTCATACGCTTATTAGCTATGTTTCACTGGGAAAGTCACTCAACATCCTTGGGTCTCAGTCTCCTCATTGTAAAATAATGATGTTGGACTTAATGGCCTCCAAGGTCCCTTCCACCTCTAAATTTATGAAGTTAATATTCCCCTGCACACACACACCCACACACACACCCACACACCCTAAGCATGTGGAGATGTTTAGCCTGAAAAAGAAAAGGAGAAGAGAAGATGTGGGTGGATGGTTCACATGATAATTATCTTAAAATCTTTGAAAGGCTGTAATGTTGAAGAGAGAATAGAGTTATTCCATGTATCTCTGTGAGTAGCTAGGTAGGGCAGTGGATAGAGCACTGGGCCTGGAGTCAGGAAGACTCATCTTCCTGAGTTCAAATCAGACACTTCCTAGCTGTGTGACCTTGGGCAAGTCATTTAGCCCTGTTTGCCTCAGTTTCCTCATCTATAAAATGAGCTGGAAAAGGAAATGGCAAACCACTATGGTATCTTTGCCAAGAAAATCCCAAATAGGGTCATGGAGAGTCAGACATGACTATCTCAAAAAATCTCCAGAAGGCAGAACTAGGACCAAAAGGTAGATGTTATAACGAATCTCAACTCAATTTATGTATGGAGACAGAGATGTTGCATTCCCCAAACCCATTTGAGGACTCTGCCAAAGAAACCCCATATAAAATATGTGGAGATTTACTCTTATACTACAAAAGTAAAGCTAAGAGGACTTTGATCGACACAACAAGGAAGAAGCGGAAAAGAAGTAGGAGGGAGAAAAATAAGATTTTTTTGATAAAAAATAATATTAATTTTTTCTAAAAAGCAAAACTAAGGAAAGAAAGTAAAGTCCTAGAATTGAGAAATACAAGGAACCTCCCGAGCCTTCTGGTCTATTCCCTTATTTTATAGAGGATGAAACTGAAGCCCAGAAAGGGTAAGTGAATTGCATAAGATCACACAGATAGTAAGCGTCAGAGGCAGGATTTATTTTAATTTATTTATTATTAATAAAAATTATTTTTTCTCCTTACCTCCCATCCCCAGCAAAAAAGAAAAATAAATATGAATAGTCAAGGGAAACAAATTCCTGAAATGGTCATGTCCAAAACATTTGTCTTGACTCCATCACTTCTCTGTCAAAAGGTTGACGGCATGATTCTCCATCAGTCCTTTGGACTGGAGGTATGATTTGAACCAGGTCCTCTGCCTCTCATCATTGAACTCTAGCCTACTGGCCCACATTCCTGCTTTTGTCTGTCAGCAGCAAAACCAACCCAAATTGCCCAGGTCTTTGTGCTCTATTTTCTGGCCAGCACAAGACCTCACAAGCTTTCTGCCTCCCTGTGTTAGGAAGAATTTCCCACCAATTATTGGTGTTTAAAAAGGGGTGGACTGCCTTATCAGTAGAGGTATTTAGGCAGAGATTCTTGGTAGGTCTGCTGGAGAATGGATCCCTCAATTGATTAAAAGGTTGGATTAAATGAGGTCCCTTCCAATTCTGACATTTTGGCTTCTAAAGGTATCCCTGGAAGATGAGATTTCTATAATAAATTGAGGGGTGGTGTTGACATTCTCAATCAGCATCCAAAATAAGTAAGATCTGGGGAGTCAGGAAAGGAGGAAGAGTGTTCCCCCTGTCCCTGAGATATAAGGACAACAGCTTTGATGAATGAGGGTTTGGGGAGATGAATTAAATATCCCAGTGTCCTCTCCCCACCTCCCCAGCTACTAGTACTATCAAATCCAAGAACAAGTAAACAAAAAGGCCTCTGTAGAAGGAAGGGAAGGATGAAGGAGCCAAGTGCGTTACCTCTGGCAAACAGGTTGGAGAAGTCGGTCTCAGTTCGGCGGAACCGAGCCTCCCGCCCAATGTTCTCACATGCTATCAGATTCTTTGAGGACTGCCTCTCTTTGAAGGCGCTCACAATTCGACTCTTCTCCTCCAGGCTGTTGGTCCTTTGCAGGAAGCCTATGTTAATGTAGGAAAAAGTAGTCAAGGACTCTCCAGCTTACAGTCAGCTGCTGCAGGGTCCAAACCCAAGCTGTCCAAAAGGATTTCTCTTTCTCTTATAGTCAGTGTAGCTGAGTCTCTGCACACGCATACATATACACACACACACATGATTTCTCTGCCTCCGGCAGGGAGGAAACAACACAAAGTGACATTGGTGGCACAGATCCAGTTGTGCTCAGAGAGAAAAAAAAACCCAAAAACCCCAACAATAAATGAAGTCTATTCCCATCTCTGAAAGTGACAGTAAGCTCTGAATTAAGTCAATTGGACACATTCCACTCCAGTAACCAGCCCTAGGAATAGGGTTTTAGGGAATGGATGGGATCATTGTCACTGCAAGCAGCCATAGGGTTTATGGACTGTGTAGGCAAAGGGAGGGAGGGGGTCAGGATAGGCCAGGAGGGGAGTTCTTTCCCATCCCCCACACCTGAAGTCTACTGATGAGATTAGACCAAAATTTTTCTGACTCAGACCTGAAATGTTGTTCTTCCTGCCTCTCTCCTCTTTCTCCTTGGTTCACACCATTGGGAAGAAGGAGATTCTAGGACATACAGCTGGGTAAAATCTCAGATAACTAAGGAAACAAAGGTTTGAGCTTGTGAGCATATCAATTCATTAAACAATGCATGTCGATCGAATAAAAAATCAGGACCAGGCCTTCTCAGCTTGGCACTAGACCCCAAATACAAGGGGAAACAGATTTTTGTGCATTAAAAGAAAACAATTAACAGGATGAAAGATTAAGTAATCTGATTTCTAATTGGAAGAAAGATTAGGGGTTTTCTAAGTTGGGAGGGGGAGAATGAACAGGTACAATTCCCTGAAATTGGAAAAAGAGGTGTTCTACTCCTCACCAAATGTCTGTATTCAATCAAAGGAACAAGGAAACAGTAACTGATTGACCAGTACAGAGCCACTTTTTAGATAAGATTACTTAAGATATGTAATTGTGAGAAAACTCCTTGCATCAATCTTTGGATCTAACTGGGTTTCTGGTCAGTATAATCTAGGCCAGTGGAGAACCTATGACTTTGAGGCCACATTCATGACTGAATCCAAATTTCACAGAACAAATCCCCTTAGTAAAAAGATTTGTTCCTTGAAGTTTGGATTCAGTTGAAGCACTGAACTTGAGGATCTAGAGGGCCATATGTGGCCTCAAGGCCACAGGTTCCCTACCTCTGACCTAGGCTCTTAGTCAAGGGTCTCCAGGCAACAGGTAGAGGTAGTCCAGCTTATCAGCCATGCAAGGTTAGGTTCAAACAATGCAATAAAGTTTTCTTACTAGTCCCATAATTGAATAAAGTTTTCTCACAAGACAGAAATTGAACTAGACCCATAATTGAATAGAAAGGGAACTGAGTTACATCCTGAATTGAGTCACAAGATGGAGTCAGTGTGGTTCATTCAATTCCCAAAATCTCCTCAGAAGTCCCTGTGTCCTGAATAATGTCCCACAAATGAAGACATACATCTTCTGCAGCTGGGGTGATAGTGCTTAGAGGGAATAACAATTTCTCTGTAGGGGTGGCTTTAATACAGTTGATTTCAGGAATAAGAGCCCCTTCAAGAAGCCAACAGAGCTATACCAGATGGGTCTAAGTACCACTTAAGTCAGAGGGCACTACTTTTCATAGATACCCTCTACCCCACCATCCACTGGTGATCTCCTTACCTTCAAAATTTTCTAAGCCCCTCAGGATTTCCTTCTCAAGTCCTTACTATGATGTATGTAAAAACAAAGAGTTCTGATTTTCCTGTTATTTAGAACACTGCAATTTGAGTAAGAGGTACGGATATTAAGTAGGAGCTCTGCCACTTACTAGCAATATGACTGTGAGCAAGTTATAGGATCAAATGCTCTAGAAAGAGCCTTCAAGACCATCTAGTTCAAGACCTTAATTTTAGGCTTTTTTTTTTTGGCAAGGCAATTGTGGTTAAGTGACTTGCCCAGAGCCATATAGCTAGTGAGTGTTATGTGTCTGAGGCCGGATTTGACTCCAGGGATGGTGCTCTATCCACTGCTCCACCTAGCTGCCCCAAGCCCCTAATTTTATACAGCAGGAAACTGACTTACCCAGTATCACACATACAGTAAGCAGCAAAACTAGGATTTGGATCTAATTCCTCTGACACCAAATCCTGGGCCTCAGCATCCTCATATGGAAAATGGGAATAATAATTGGGAAAGGAACTGGGTACATGTGATTTCATCAGAGAGGGAACTTCATCTACCAAAACAGATCAGCATCTTCTCTTCAACTTAGACTTTTAACAAGTTCCCTGGAGCGCTGAGGGTTTAAATGATTTGCCAAAGGTCATAATAGGGACTCAAACCCAGGTCTTTCTTGCAGTGAGGCTAACACTCTACTCACTACACTACATGGCCCCTCCACTATAAAGCCTTCTGCTATTTGCCTTGTAGAATTGTTTTGAGCATTAAATAAGGAAATACATGTAAAGTGGCTTGGAACCAGAGTGTCCGGAAATAAAAAGTGCTGAATCAATATAAGTTATTCTTCTTAGCAATATTTTAAGTTTCTCTGGGAAACACAATTGTCAGAAAAAAGTCTTAAAAGGCTCCAGGAGGAATAGTCTTTCAGTGGATTCAAGGTTTACTTTCCCAAGACTCAAGTGCATTTCTAATAAGGACTAGAAGAGGATAGGGTACAGAGACTGGAGACATTAAAGCTCCATTAGGCGCTTTAATCCTCATATACACAGTCCCTGGTCATTGCTTTGGATTCCTCTTGTCCTGCACCCATTGAGCTGAAATTTGTCTCCCTGTGTCTTTGATACATTAGTTCGAATTCTGCACTGTGTAGCTACACAGAATAAGTGTTTAGAAGATGCCACCATTTGGAAGACTTGATAGGTGGGGCATGGTAATATATGGATCTTCATTGGTTTATTCCTTTACCAGGTATTAAACTCCACCCCCCACCCATTCTTCTCCTCTCTTCTGACTCATTCATTTATCCTGGAAACCTGAGGAAGTTGACTGAACTCAGTTTTATCAGCATCTTAAAGGATCTGACATTTTCCCCAGAGGTGAATGGGTAGGTAGTAGATGGGTCATAGGATCGCCTAGATAGGTCATGAAGTTGTCTAGATGACCTTCTCTCTCTGAGAAGCTGAGAGGTGGAAGGCAAGGTCCTGAACCATAGTCAACACACCCACCTTGGAGGAAAGGGTGGGGGAACTAGGGACAAAAGAGAAGCTCAGTTTGGCTTTCAGCAGTTGTGCTACTTCACTCTACTGCCCTTGCCACCCTCTGGTAATTCAAGGAAACTAATTGCAATATTTGGATTCCAGAAATACCACCTGAATCTGTCTCATTTCGATAACTTCACTCCCAGGGGTTCCAGAGGCAGGGATGGGGGAGGAAAAGAGAGAGGTGTATAAGAGACCTATGAGTTTCATTCTCTTTTGGGATTATGGTGCTGAGCTCACTTTTTCATAGTTCTAGGTAGCCTTATGTAAAACAGTAAGTTTGTTTTTTTCCTATTTGCATGCTATGACTGCTATCAAGAAATTTAGTCATTTTGAGTCATAGATTTAGTTAGAATGAGACTAAAAGGTCACATTCTCCCCCTTCCCCCAATTTTACATATGAGGAAATGAAGCCCATAAAGGTTAAGTGGCATCCAACATTACAAAACTAGGAGGTAACAGAACAGGGATTTCAACCGTTTCCTGACTCTTAGTCTAATGCTCTCATTTAAAGAGTACAGTTTGGGGTGTATGCTATGTACATGGTGGGCTTCTTTTTTGCATTTGTATCCCTGCCCAGAGGCTTGCTGTCTGAGCAAATTGGATGTCTAATCTCCCTAGGACCAAACCCATAACTGATGTGTCTGGCAGTGGAAGAGAGTGACACAGCAGAGTCCTAGAGATGAATCCCCTAGAAACTTTGAGGGAATTAAGGGGAGAGACAGAGGAAGGAAGAGGAGTTTGGGGCCAGGTGACGACACCTCTTCTTGAGAGTAGAGTTAGCAGAAGATGTGAAAGCTAGCCACCCAGTCTTTCCTCTTGAAGCCTATTTCCAATGCTCCATAAGAATAATCTCCCAAATTCAGTCCTGTGTCCAGGTTGGGCTAGGACAACTGGATCCGCACGAGGTGACTCTGGGGAAGAGGGCGGCTAAGAATGGAGTCCTGGCCATAATGACCTGAGGAGGTGAGATAGACTCCAAAGTCAGGAAGACAAAATTCCGGAATGACGGAGGGGGCTGGGCCAGTAAAAAGCCCCTAATCTCTCCTCAGCTTCAGGTAAGGGAGAGAAAATGGGTTGCTTGAGAGGGCATTTGGCTAGCAAAGGGTTGAACTGAAACAATCTTGAAGGCAAACACTTGAGAGACAGTGCTGTACTGTGGAGAGAGCACTGTCTTTGAACCCAGAGAATCTAGGTTTAAATCTGAACTCTGCTACTTACTACCTTTGTGACCCTGGGCAAGTCACATAAACTACCTGGACCTCAGTTTCTTCATCTGTAAAGTAAGGGGTTTGGATCACCTCTAAATCTATGATCCTGTAAAAGAAGAGGGCAGATGTAAGCAAACATTCCCAAATATTTGTGGAATGAGTGAATGGTGGAAGGAAGCACCTGTACCCTCCTTGGATTTAAATGTCTAATTATCTGCAGATGTGAAATTTCATCACTGTAATTGTGTGGGAGCTCTCTCTACTAATGCAGATGGCAAATGCTTCTAGTTTCTAAGTAGGTAAGTCCTAAGGAGTTGTCAGAGGGGCATAGAGGCTCATTGATTTGCTCAAAGCCACACTACTATTAAATTGTCAGGAGTGGAATTTTAATCCTGATCTCCTTGACTCCAAGCTATACCGGAAGCCAAGGCTACTTCCGTGGGAACTCCATATTATTCCTAAAATCTTTAAAGGGAAGTGTTCTATCCGAATCCCCTACCTTTCCCTTCCATAATCTGATAATCGAAATACAAAATCTGAAAAATTATTTAAAACACGAATACTAGTCTTTCCTTTGCTATCAGACTAGCTTAATATCAATTCTCTCTCTTCTTCTCTCCTTCTTTCTATTCCAACTAACGATCTTAAATTCAGCGGCTATTGTCAAAAGGTAATTTTCCTTTTACACATACACTGTCTGCCCCCCCTCCCTCCCATACTTGAGGTACACGCTTACACAAGCTCAGCGCGCACAGGTGCAGTGGCACACCCACAGACAGACAGACAGACACACCCCCCAGAGCCGGGCTCCTCTGTGACTTCTTTGCTTTTTTGTGCGACCTCTAAATTACAGAGATTTAGGAGGGGTCAATGCTTCTGTAAAATGAGAGATAGGGAATCAAATGAATTCGCAGGACAAGGATCTCTAAGCAGCACGCTTCAGTGGGACTCATCCTCTACAGACCTTGACCTCCCACAGAGAAGGGAGGACGGACTTAATTGAAATAATGGGCTCCTGTGTTCTCCAAGTGCACTTGTCCAGCGTGTCCGGAGCACCTCCCCCCTCCCCAGCAGCTAACCAGGGACCGGAGAATGACCAGTGTTTCTCCTAGACACCCTATCCAAGCAGGCTCAGTCCCCATCAGGTTTCTATTACTACAGATGATGCTGTACTCCAAGGTTGTTGCTATTGTTGTTGTTTTTCTTTCTTTTAAAGAAATCACTTTAAGCTATCTGCCTTTCCACCATGCTGGACTGGCCCTAGTGAATCTCTATGGAGGGTCATAGGCTCTCCTGAAAGCTGGGCAGAAGTGAATACTGTGCAGTCAGTGACCCGGCTAAAGGGAATGGGCTGGAGTCTAATTCCGTTTGCTTTCCTCCTGCTCTCCTCTATCCACATAGCGAATCTGACCCTCTGAGGAGGGAACCCCCCCCAAAAAAAAACCCTTTGGACGTTTATTTGATAATAATTTACATGTATTTGGAGCTTTAAGGCTCACAAAGTGCTTTGCTAGTGAACGTGGGCTTCTCTTCCCCATTCACCCCCTCCTCCGGTTATTCCCTACTTCCACTGGATCTCAACCACCCCCATTTCCCTTACTGCGCGGGCGGGGGCCATAGCGCGGGGCTGGAGTGCGGCGGGGCGTTACTCTATCAGTTCTGCTTGCCGGGCTGCATTAAAATGACAGCAGAGAAGCCGGGCGCTTCAGTCGCCGAAGGGACCCTAGCCGTAACGGCCCATTAAACCCAGATTGGGGGGAGGGGGCTATTTATAGAACAAAGCAACTAGCTCTTTGCGTTTCCTCTCCTCCGAGCCTCTGTCACCTCTCCCTATTCGCCATCCTCCAACACCCACACCGAGTGGGGGGGGGGAGTCTTTAAGATGAAGATATGAATTAAAAATTGTAGGCTCCCTGACCACCTTCCCTTTAATCTCGAATCTTTACGAATCTAGGCAGAAGGGAACAGGGCGGCGAGGCTGGAGCAGGGGAGAGGCTCAACCTAAGGCTGCTATTCTTAAACATCACCAGTGGATTGGTATTTTAAATTGATTTGACACGTGTGTGTGTGTGTGTGTGTGTGTGTGTGTGTGTGTGTGTGTATACTTATCTATCCCTTTCCCAAGCATATCCCTCTTAGTGTCAATCGCCTTCACCCAAGGGAGAAGAGCACCTTAAACCTTCTTGCCCCTCTAAGATATGAAAAAAGGGGTCCGAAGATAATTGAGGAAACCTGGGAGGAAGGGAAAAGGTTTGGAATTACAGAACGAAGATCTGAATGTTCTAGGTGGCTGTCATTGGATGGGTTCTAAACATTTAAGGGCTGTACAACCGAAAAAGAAAGGCCAAGGCAGCTTGTTATCTCCAAATAGATCTCTAGCTGTAACTTGGCCATCCGACTGTCTGAGTATTTGTTTCCTAGTTGTCCATTTCGTGCGTGCCGGGGAACAGCGCAGGCAATGAATGCTGCTATCTCACCCAGCCAGCCCTCTGACGAATTGCTCTTAATAAGTCTCTCGTTAAGCTTTTTCCTCCCTTCGCCCTGGGGAGATCCGTATTTTCTGGTCCGATAAGGTTTGGGAATTTTAGACGGCGAAACGCAGCAGAGAGAGAGAGAGAGGGGAAAAAAAAATCACTGTTCTCGCTACTCGGCTGGAGCGGCTTAATCGGCTTCCCTTAGAACAAAATCTCTTATTGTTCTTTTAGATTTCATTTATTTCAAGTACTCCCCACAAGATTCTTCAAATATCCTCTCCGTCCCTGTTCACCTCTACCAATCCCCTCACCTTTCGGAAGCTTCCATTTGCTCATTCTCTTCTCTGTTTATTAATTCCACAGCCCTTCCATCTTAGAGGCAGACAGAACCCCGCAAAGCTTTACCAAATAGGTTTTGTATGCACCACACCGTCTTAGTAGTCTCAACCCTCCCTATTCCCCCAACAGGGATTTCCTAGCTTCTCATCCTTTTTTTTCTACCATCTTCTAGGACACGCATCCCAATCTCTTCCCCTTTCACAGATAGCTCTTATTCTGGCCACAGAGGAGTGGAAAACCATCCATTCCTCCTTGGCCCCCGAGAGAAGACGGAAGAGCAGAACATGAAATTTTAGGGGAAAGAGCTCATGATGAACATTTTGATGGCCCTTAGAAACGACGTCCTGCCTGTTGCCAACCCAGTCAAACACTGCTCAGGGAAAACACCTCTTGATCAGTTTGGTTGCCTCCAGAAGCAAGAGCCTCGGGAGCCGTCTTTCTGCCTGAGCACATAGGCTAAACTGGTACCTTGGGGCGGATTTCGCCGATGGAGCGCAATCTGCAGGCAGATTGAGAGCGAAGCCCTCGGGTTCGACCTTGCTGTATTGGCGCCCTTGGGCCAGCAGAAGGCGCAGAGGGCTCGCGGAAAAACGCCGCCTGGGAGAGTCCCAGTTCTAAATCTAAAGTCCTGTGTAGCTAATGCTTCTGGTCCTAAGCAATGAGTTGGATGGAGGCTTGGAGGTTTTCAAAGACAGAAAAGAAGACCCGAAAAGGCCAAGTTCCCCTTACTACCTAAAGCCTTATTAAAAAATAAACCGATATCCACAGAATAAGGTTGGGGGCCATGGCTTAGGGTTTTCTCTCCCTGACCACATCCCATCTCTAGCTCTGGTGCATATTTTTTCTCTTACCGCATATCTTGAGTCCCAGTTTTCTGGTGCATCCATGGGCCACCCCGCACCAGGTGTCATAAGCTAGAAAGAAAGATAAAAATCACTCACTAGGGTATGAAAGCAAATTTAGGAGGCAATTCTGGGAGGTAAACAGGACTGAAAGTGGGATGGTTAGAGTGGAGAAAACAGAAGCTGTTTCTTTCGTTGGGTTTTGGAAGAAAATTTAGCATTAAAAACATCCATTCATCTCCTGCCCCCCCTTCCCAGAGTTACTACAGAAGGAAACAAAAGTCGTTGATAGCATCCAAACCTGTCTCCATGAAATACCTCACGGATATAAAATGAAGGTTAAAAAAAATCAGAAAGGAATCTACTCTGCAAACTAACTGTAGGCTACTGATCCTAGGGTAGGAACAATGGTGGGGGGAGCAAGTAGAGAAAAACAGAGCAGCCTAGAAGTCCTTTGTTTCAGTCCAACAGATGTGAAAAGGCCCTCACATCAGTCCAGCAAAGGAACAAAAAGGCATCTGGGACCTAAACATCTCATAATTTCCTGGCAGGTCTCCAGCAGAGTGGCAGCTTAAAATAAACTGGCATGAAATGGGGTCGCAGAAGAGTTCAGGAATTAATTGGGTGAAAAATAGTATTTGACTAGATGATAGGGCTTGCATGACTGCCCTTCAGCTGGACTTCGGAGTCGGAAAGACAGTGTGCCTCAGATCCCTTTCCCCATTTTCCCACTTTCCAACCTTCTTCCTCATTAACCCACCTGCCTCCAATCCTCACCCCCATTTTCCTTGGACAGATTTCATTGTGGACTTGCTCCAGAGTAGAGTCTACGGAAAATGGTGGGGTGAACAGGGTAGGATAGTGAAGAAAAGGCATTCCAGGGGGTTTTAGTATTGGGACACTTCAATCTCACTGATATCAGCATGCTGTGGAATGTTTTAAGTTTCCTTTACCTGAGCCGGTGTCCGCCTTAGCCTCAGCCCGCTTTCTTGTAGAAGAGGAATTAGAGGAACCAGTACTTGTAGGCATTTTTTTTAGTGCCCCATGGAGCTCCAGTTTGTGTCTACAAATTTCTTTCATTTTCATGTATCCCTAGTTCCTCAACCACTGTGTATGCACGTTGTTGGAGACAATGGGGACCATTATCATTGCTAGATGGCTCAAAAGGACAAAGGAAAAGGTGAGAAAGAAGGAAACAGTGTATTCACTATTGATATACACTCAGAGAGACCACATTATAGTGAAAACCAAGTAGAGGTGAGAGGAATGTTGTAAGTCTCTTTGCTCTAGGATCAAATGGAGTAAGATATTTAAGGGAAGGAGGACAAGAATGAAAGGAGATGGAAAGAACTTCTTTTGAAGACCTAAAAGTCATGATCTGCTGAATCAAGGAATAATTGTGATCAATGTAGGCTTTGGGTGGTAGTGGAAGAAAATGGGTTTGGTGGGGGTGGGGTGGGCTGAGGGACAGAAAAGGAATACATTTTTCCTGCCATGTCCCTGCCAGGGACAAACAAACAAACAAAAGGCGCTTTCAGGGAAAGCTGGGTAATTAGAGATAGAGGGAGAGGACAGTTGGTAACTGTGGAATACTGGCTTGGGTCTGTGAAAGTGATAGGCTACGCTCCTGTTATCACTTTGTGTGTCCCCTGGAAGAAGGAATGGCAGTCTGGACTGTGCCAGGATGAAACTGTGGGTGTGTAGGGCATGGGTTGGGTGATCAGCCTCAGCCCCTAAGCAAAACAAATAAGGGAAAAAATCAAACACCTCTGCCTGTTTCTACCAATTCACTGGAAATCTTTAGGGACCCCACCCTCTGTTTTCATTTCTTTTTGCCTTGGTTTTGAATGCTCAGAAAATCTCTTTGTGAAAATATGGGCTAGTAAGACCTAACAACAACAAAAATTGCAAGGGCTTAAGGCCAAACTCAATAAGCACCAAAGGACTGTGAGAGGTGTCCAGGGCACGTATAGGAGGAGGAAGAAAGAAGCTGGTTGAGGAAATACAAGAGAGCATGGAAGGAGGAAAAAAGGGGAGGGGAGGCATGAACTGGGGGAGGCGGACATTGTCCAGAGTAAGTAGACTGTAAGCTGGAAAACTGGGCCGGACAGCAGAGAAGATAGTAATGAATAGTGAAAACAAATAAATCTGCTAGCAGAAAGACAAAAAGCCAGCTCCCTGAATTTCTCCCGTTCTCCGCCCCGCCTCCAGGGGATCCATCGGCCCAGAGCGGTGGCGCTGGAGCGCAGAGATGAGCCTGTCGGTGCGACAATCTCCATCAGGGTGGGCTCTGCTCCTCTCCTGATACATCTTCTTTGTTATGAGGGTAATTATGCACCAAGTTGGGGGGAGAGAGAGAAGGGAGTAAGATGGAAAGGGACAACTGGGCTGGAGGTCATTTAAGTAGCTATCTGTATCCTCTAGACTCCAAGAAAATTAATTCTATTTTAAACCACAATGGGGTTGAAGGGGGACGGGGGCGGGGCGAAGGAGCTAAGGTGAACCTTGAACAGGGATAGGGGCGGGATGTGTTTGGAAACAATCTGCGTTTGGTTGGATTGCTGCCCTTTTATTAGGGTTCTGTTTTCTATCCTCCTCCTTTTTCCAGAATAGCCACGCTCCAAATGGGTTTCTGTCAGTCTCAAGGAGAAGTACAGGGCAGGGTTCTCTGGATCTGCCCCAGAAAGACCATTCTCTACCCGCCCCCACCCCTGCAGGCTCCTCATTTAATTCGTTCATAATGATTATACCCTCCGTTCCTATTGAAAAAAAAACCCTCCTAATTGATTGTCTGAATTGTCAAGGCAGAACCACAACTGATTTTTTCCACTTTCCCCGTCTTTTGCTTTTCCCTCACACTTCAATAGCTCGACGCAAATTCGGGGCAATTAGGGACACGGGGTTTTCGAAAAGCTGCAATTAAAGCCCAAATTTCCGCTGATTATAGACTCCCTAGCGAAGAGCTAGAGGGGTGGGGAGGGCGGCTGGGGGGAGAGGAGGGAGGTCAGCTCCTGGCTCAACAAATTCTAGAGACAGAAATGTTCTTGGTTTTCCTTAGGGATTCCCAGCTCTTCTCACCTTTTTTTCTAGACCCAGACACGATCTCTTTCACATCAAAATAAACCACACACAACAAAACAAACCACTTGTTCCGCTCTTCTAGACTCCCGAACCACATCTGGGACCTTGGATTACTAGGTTAATAGCTTGATTTTTTCTAATCTTCAATTCTCCTCCCCCCTCCCCCCAAATCTCCATCCCCTGCTAAGAGTTTCAGGAAGAAGCTCTGACAGGACTTACTGGTAGGGCGAAGGTTGGTGGGATTGGAGTCCGGCCCTGGGTTGGAAGAGGAGGAGGAGGAGGAGGAAGGTGCCGAAGATGCCATTTGCTCTGTTGCCAGAGTCCTGGGTCTGCCTGCTTTCTCGGGTCTTTCACGTGGGAGGCCGACAGTTAGCTAAGGAGCCGACTGCAAGAAGAGAGAAGGTGTTACACGTTTGGGATATCCAGGTAAGGAGGAAGCGAAAAGGGGATTTGAGGACCCGCACAAGGGAATGGAAAGTCAAGAGGCTCCCCCTTGCCCTGGGGCAGAGGAGATGGGAAAAAAGAAGGGGCCCTGGTTATATTCATGAAGTGCTGGAGTGGCGTGCCCCAGAGCTGCTGTCAATCCAGCGTGCAGAGGAGAAGCAACAAAAATATGGTCCGTGTTTCAGGCCTTCCATCTCGGAGCCTCGATTCTACGAGTCCAGGAAAGACAGAGGACATCCTGTGCTAGGACAAGGAAATAAGATCGGAGGTCGGGGTGAGGAAAGCACAGTTTATAATCTGACCTAAGAGGTCAGAACGCAATGCCCTGGAGCCCTGCTCTGAGGAGGGCGAAAGAGAGCTAATACTCAAAGCTAATACTCAAGCGAGGACTCCGCTCGGCGGGAGGGAGTAGGTGAGTGGGGGAGACGAGAGGCGGGGCACGTCTGGTAGGATGTCTGGTTTCTGTTGTTGTGTCTGGCTAATCCTTGGAAAGGGCAAGAAGATTCATGTTGCTCTAGGGACAGGGCACTGGCCGTGAGGCAAGTTATCCTACCAGATTTCCCAAGATATTCCGAACTGAGACATTTCTAGACTTGGTTGAGGTACAGAGACAGTCACCCTAGAGAAAGGACAATTATCCCACCACCACCCCCTCCCTTCCTAAATTAGCCGGTCAAAGGCTTCTTCCCTGACTAGTCCGTCTTTTGGGTCCATGACTGAGAAGCTTGGTACCCCGACCAGGGCGAAGGAGTCTTGTTCTGTGTTCCTCTCATTTAATCTCCAGATCTCTCGCCCACATTTTCTTGCCCTTTGGGGAAACAAAGTTGCGCCCCAGATTAGGGAGGTGGGGGAATTTGAAACCTGCTCCGCGCGCCTTTGGGAAGCCCTTGAAAGAGACTTGAGGGAGTCCAGAGCCGTTAGGAGAGAAGAAAGGTGCAAATTCAATCAGACTTAAGCCTCTGGAATAAAATACTTGCAGCTTCACCTCTACCCAAAGTGCTCGCATGCGCGGGTACACACACACACACACACCCCACACAAGTCAATACCAACCCCCGGGAGCAAGCCAGACAGATTAGCAGTTGTAATAGAAGTAACAGGTTATTGTCGCTCTGAGCGGCTCCAGTGACTCTTGGCGAGGTTCTTTTGGTTAGATAGCTTCGGGTAGCACAGTGGAAAAGGGGAAAGAGAAATTGATGGTACCCCCTCCCCCAGCCCGCTCCCATTTGTACTTCCAGAGGAGCAGCCTCTTTCTCCCAGCTTGCCGAATTGGCGTGGCTCGACTATTTGGGGTTAGAAAGGAAACGGTCTGTGCGGCTCACAAAAGGGAGCTGGCCGGCTGGGGTCTGGCTAGTCACTTACAATTGCGGACCGAGGTAGACTGCGCGAGCTGGCTGACGGATTCCGAGTCTTGGGAAAGCTGGAGGATGAAGGGGGAAATAGCGCACTTCAGAAGCTGGGCAAAGGACAGACGTTTATAAACTCCAGGTGGCACAGCGCCCGTATACCAAGCAAGCACTTAGGTGTTGAAAATGCACCTGGGGCTGACTGGCTGCTCTCAGCTCTTCCTCAGCTCAGGAGCGCTACTGGATGCTCTATGCAAGGCAGGCGGATCGGCTCTGCTCTTCTCAGCTCCGCTCCTACGCAGGCATGAATCACAGCCTTACTGTCCGTCACCTCTAGTAGATGCAGTGGCTGCTTTCTTCTCAGCTGTCTCCTTAGGTCCGGCAAGGAAGGGTGAGGAGGAGAGCAGAGGAGAGAGGCAAAGGGGGGAGGAGAAGGAGGGAGAGAAAGGAGGAGGGAAGGAGAGACAGAGGGGGGAGAGGGAGAGGGAGAGGGAGAGGGAGAGAGAGAGAAAGAAGGGAGAGAGAGAGAGAGAGAGAGAGAGAGAGAGAGAGAGAGAGAGAGAGAGAGAAGGAGAAGAGAGAGAAGAGAAGAGAGAGAGAGAGAGAGAGAGAGAGAGAGGCTAAAGGCTCATCTTCTCTTCGTGCTCTCTTTTTTTGGGGGGTGTGGATAGAGTGGGGAGGCGGGAAAGACGTTGGTGGGAGAATCACGAGGCTTTGTGAAAGCCGGCTGGCTTTCCTCGGGCTGAATGCTGTGACTTATTTGCAGGTGCATGGGCTTTATAGCTCCATTATCGATCCAGATCACGAAGTTGCACCCGGAATGAGTAATCTAGTACGTACTCAACACGCTCCATTTTCTGAAAGAGCAAGGAATGCTAGTGGGTGGGAATAAGAGTTGGAGGGCAGAAACGCTTTCACTCCTCCATCACATTCTGCTGAGCCATTTCCCCCTCCCCTTTTCTAATATATTTCCGAGGAGATGGAAAAATGGCTTTCACTTCGCTCCTTTCTCAAGTCCCTTGGCATTCCTCCTCCCGACCTGACACTTGGACACACCGAAGGGTGAGAAAAATGCGCCAGAATTCATCTTCATTTGCTCATAGAGAGAAAGGATCTGGGAGAGCTGTAGGAGTATCGCCTGAATAACAAAGATATTTACAATTTTCCACCTCTTTTTCTGGGGACAGACTGGTGCCTTTGATTCTAACCCTAAAAGATCACCTCAGCCGAGCTTGGATACTTCCACCTACAGGAATGTATACATAATTTAAATGGTGGAGAGTAATCTTTTTACCTCTTGAGCTTTTTTCTTCCCGTCCTAGCTGCACTCACTTTTTAAAATACTGTAGTCTGGTGGAGTGGGGCACGAAAGTTCAGCGTTATTAAACACTTGGCCATATTTTAAAATCGTGAAGGTTATTTGCAAGTATGAACGCGTCTCTAGAAACGTGTAAGCATCTAATCGAGGAAGTGGTACAGGATCCAGGTGTTGACAGAGTTGACTGAGAATGAATGTCTGTCTACTTTGCAGCTGAGCCGAATTTCTTCCTCTGTTTTCACGCCCTCTTATAGTATCTTTGTTTTGACAATCGTTGAATGAACCCAATAATTAATTCATAGATAACAATGCATGGGTGAAAAAATGCCCCTCTTTATAAGGAAACCTTTCATGAGGCACATTCCACCAGAGGGCGCCAGGCACCCAAAGACTGAACTGTCCTCTTGCTGAAGTGGGAATGAAAACACCTGGGTACAGCAGCTAAGGGGGCTACACTGACAGCCACTATGGATTTTAGCCCCCCCCTTTAACGTTTTCTTTCCCCGCCTCCTTCCTCTTTTTTTCCTCTTCAAGCCCTCTAGCCTGTTCAGTTCCTTTGTTGTTTTGTTTTGTTTTGTTTTGTTTACATAAAGAGGCGAAGAAAATTTCGTGAGGTCAACTAGGTGTGGTCAACTGGGATGAAAAAAATCTTTTACTCTGCAACATTTTCGTGTTGCGACCCAGCGAGCAAACGGTTTGCACGTGCTGGTGACTGGGTTTCTTTATTTGTGCGTTCAAATGGCTGGTGGCAGCGAGGGTTCCCACAACTCTCTTGAGAAGAACCCTATTTCTCCCTTTCCTTAAAATGACTCTTCGAAATTCACAGGGACAGTAGAAAACTCGAAATTTCCCAATACACCACCGAAAATTCCGGAAGGGAAGCAGAAGACTCCACGGGGAGGAAAGGAGGAAATATTTTCTGATAAGCAAAAGGGAGTAGCCGTGAGGTTCCCCCCCCCTTTTTAAATAAATGCTACCCAATTCACACGGGGAAATGCCCTCCACCCTCCTCCTAACCTTACCAGAAACCCTTATCCACAAACGAATCTTAATCGGCAGGTCAGTTGGCATTAATTAATAGTTGGCATTGCTCTCTTAGCCAGGTCTCACCTAAGAACAACGTGTGTTTTCCAGGCGCTAGACACATTATCAAAAATAGCGCACAAAAGGCAGCCTGAATTTCAACCAGTTAATAGAAATGTGCAGTTTACATACGGTGAGCAAAGCTCTGCTTTTCTCGTTCTTCTCCTTCATACTCCACTTCATCTGATCTGCTCCCTAAAGCGGTCGTTCTCACCAATCAGGGAGATCTTTTGCCCATATTAAATCATTAGCGACGCAATCGAACAATGAGCCCAGCCGGTAGAGGGAAATAAATGCTTATTTCATTTGCAGTTGCCACTGTGAGAGAATCCAAATTGCTCTCTCGCTGTCCGCTTAACTTTCCCTAAGACCTTGGAATTCTGTCATGTTTAGATGAAGAGGAGATTCGTTTACTTCATACTTTTGTTCAACACTTGATTCCTGCCTGACACACAGCAAGCGCTTACTAAGTGCTTGTTGGATGATTGGTGGACTTAGAAATTTCGAAACATCCTCACTTTGATCTCACATTTTAAACATATACACTACAACCTTTCAGATAATGGGAAAAAATACATATATAGCTTGGATGGAAACATCTATGACACTAAGGAATTCGTGTTAAAATTGAATCCTTCCAGCTGTGAGAGTTCAAAGGGTTTTTGGTTTGAGGACGTTTTGTTTGATTTTTTAAAATCTGCTGGTTAGTGGGGACAGGAATTCGATTTTTTGAGAGGAAGCTCTGTAAGTAGCCTTTGTTCTGAAAGCTTGTGGTATAGTTGTGCAAGATGAATGTCGGACTTGAGGTCATGCTGTCTGTTTCATTTTGTTGTTTTACACATACATGCACAAACACACAATATGCCTTAGGCACCTCAGGTGACCTCTCTGCAATGACTAAGAGGAACTGATGGGCTTGATTTTTCATCCCGTGCTATCACCTCCTAAACCTGAAGTGGGATGATCAGCCAAAGTTCAGCACTAAGGACAGCGTCCAGACTTCCTTCAACCCCAATCCACTCTTGTCTTCTCGCGGATAGCCCTCCAGGTCCCCTAGCCCATCTCCCTCAGGGACTATATTTGTTTTTCCAGGGTTAAGTTTCTCCACTCCTCTCTCGGTAACGGATTTAGGGTGATTGTAGCTGTCTGTTTGGAATATCTATGGTCTGCAGTTTTCTTATTTTGTCTGTTTCCACTTTTTCATGTATTTGTTTCTTTTTATGGGCGGGAGAGGAAGAGTAAAGGTGAAAATAAAGGAATCAGCTCCAGAACTTGAACTAGCAATGGGATTTGCAGGCGGAAGGGAGTGGCATCCCCACAGCTGTTTGTTTTCATTTGATCCAGGATCCAAAGCTTTGATGAAATAAAAACAAACGTTGAAAAGCCAGAAGAAGGGGAGGGGGGCGATTTGCGCCATCTCCTCTTCCCTGGTCTCAGACTACTGTCCCCCCACCCCCCACCCCATGTGTGGTTTTGAGCCCTGGAGTGAAGAACTGCACAGCTGGGGTCTCACTTTTGGAAGGAAAATCTTTCTTCGGGTCAGAGGTATCTGGGGCTTTGGATTCTGTCCCTTCGCCTACGCTTTCTTTTCCCTGGGAGGTTTAAAGATTCCATCCCGGATTCTGGGTCCAGGTCCTCTTAGTGGATCAGAGATGGGAGTGGGGAGGGGAGATGGGAAGGACAGGAGACGTGGGAAGCAAAAGGGGAGCCTTAAAACAGGCAGCTGTGGAGATGTGGAGCATAAAATGTGGTCCGAATCAAGGTGAGTAGATAAACGTCGATCTCGTTTCCCCGGCACATTTAGCATTTTTAGCCTCCAGAAAAGATAATTTTAAATTGCAAGGCTAGTTCAGTTCAGCTGATGCTTTAAGGTCTATTTTAAGTCTCTAATTTATGGCCAAAAAAAAAAATGGCAGTGCTCACCACTTAAACGTCTATCTCCCGAGACAGAGATTGTGCGGAAATGTTGCCTTAATGTTGAACTCGGCATTTCTTGTGTGGGATTTCTTCTGTGGTCATCGAAGTCAGGTGTTATTTTATTTTATTTTATTTTATTTTTTATCTTAACCATAAAAATCAAATAGGATTTTCTTTGCTGGACCATGGCTAAATCTAAATCATATTCAAAGCAGTCGTCAGAGCGCCAAAAGCATACATCCAGGCTCCAGGCAGGAAGCTAGGGAATCTACTCTAGAAATCACAACCATTTCATTCTAAAGAAGAGAATCGAATTCCTCGGAGTGATTTGTAAGTAGCTGACTTCCCCTTAATATCCAGAAGATGAAAATATTCCAAAAGAAATTAATCAAGATGACAGAGTGATTTATGTTTGTTGCATATTGCCGTATGCAAATCTCAATAGACCACCAAACCCTTGCTGTCTCAACCGCTAAAGAATTTTTTAAATACCACCAGGTGGCGGTAGCTTCCAATTTCTGAGGAAGTAACAACAACAACAACAAAAAATTAACAGTATTTGCAACAAAGAAGAACCAAGATCTTTCTAGTTTTCTTTCATGTAACTAACATTCTCCAAAGCTAGGCCTTTCTTTTGAGGGACTGAAAGGGCTGAATGCCGTGAGCTGATGATGCACATACGGATTCCTGACCTCAGATGAAAGGGTCGGGAGACCACTGACATCTCCAAAACAATATCAGCAGAAAAAGGGGTCTTTTGACATTAAGCAAAGACGTCCTTCTGTTCCTATACTCTCACAAATAGAAACTAGAAAATTAGCAAAATCTAGACCCAACCATTTTGTGTTGGCCAGAAAAATTAAAGACATTTTTAGGTTACCCATGCCCACTTGACTAGATCCAAAACAAATTTTCAAAACTTTCCCTAGGGATTTTTAAGATTTAAAATCTCTAATGGAATACTGTGCTTACTGACAGTCCCATAGTTCCACCATAGGGCTTGGGTCTTGCTGGATTTAATAAAATTTCAAGTTCTGGCTGAATTTACATTCAAACCTCTCTTGTACCCTTTCCAGATTTAGCATCTTTTTAAATGGGTATCATAAGAGACTGGTGGGATTTGAACTATGGGTAAGAGGGGAGGATTAGTTTATTCTTCTGTTCAGACACAACTTTATTAACCTTCAAGTGGCAGGAAAAGAGTATTCAATATCTTTATGTCTCAAGCTTCAAGCCTAAACTATGTTTATGAGGTTTTTAACATTTCAATTCAACAATAACTTAGCAAGTTTCTACTGTGTAAAAAGCAGTTATTGGGATTAGGAAGGTCTTCAGGAAGGAGGTGATAGCTGAGCTGAAACTTGAAGGATTTCAGCTAGAGAGAATGTGGAGAGTCTAAGTCCTAAGCATTCAGTTCAGTCTAGGCAAATGCACAGAAGTAGAAAGCATCAGATTGAGCCCAGGATACTAGTAAGGAGACTAGTTTGACTGAAGTATAGAATAAAAGAAGGGAAGTCATGTGAAATGTCTGGAAAGGTAGGTTGGAGCCAGACTGTGCAGGGCCTCAAATACTAGCATAAATAATTTGAATTTTATTATATATAGACTAGGGAGCCATTGAAAGTTTTTTAAAGACCCATCTGTTAGGAATATTATTTTGGCACTTGTGTTAGGGATAGATTGGATTCGAGGAAGTATGATGCGGCTGAATTTGAAAGAACGCTGAATCTGAAGCACAGAGACTAGGATTGTGGAAACCTAGATTGAATCCTGACTCTGTAGATTACTAGCTATATGGCCTGAGCCAAATCATTCAACTTCTCAGGGCCCATTTCCTCATCTGTAAAATGAGGTGGTTGGGATACATGTTCTCTAAGGTCCCTTCTAACTCAACAATAGATCTATGATCCTACAATACAATGGGAGAGATTTGAGGCTGAGAAATCATTGAGGAGGCTATTACAATGGTGAGAAGTGATACGCACCTTGAATAAGTGTGTGAATGAAGAGACAGAAACAAATGGGAGACATATTTCGAAGTATAGTTGATACAATTTGGCTACTGAGTAGATTTGAAGGGTGAGAGTGGAAAAAAGTCAAAGATGATAGGTTTGCAAGCTTGGTGACTGAAAAGATACTAAATAGGGATATGGAATTTGGGAGGAAAGGCACATTTGAGAGAGAGAGAAGGCTTAAATTTTGACATGTTGAGTTTGAGGGTCTAGAGAAACACTCAGGTGGAACTATTCAACAAACAGGTGAAAATACAAGACTGGCACTCAGAGGACAGAGGTAGACTTAATACTAGCAATGTTTGTGCTGGGGCAAACAAGCACAAAATATGCCAGTTAAATGCTGGTGGTGGTGGAGAATGGGGGAATGAGGGTCAGCAGGCTGGGGGAAGAGCCAATATGGGGCTAGGACTGCCACCTGATAGCTTCCTATTTAAATTAATTATCCTTGTTAATGAGGTGCAAAACTCAGTTGTTTCTATCCTGCTGAAGGATTACATGTTCTATCAGCATCCTCTAATTTTCTGTGTTCAGGGGCAAAATCTTATAGGCTTTTCCTAGCTATGGTGCTGGAGGGACAGGTTAGACTGGACATATAGATCTGAGAATCATTTTTCTAGAAGTGGTCATTGAAGCCAGGGGAATGGTTGAGATCACAAGGGCAGAGTGTAGAGACAAAAGAGAGGAAGGTCAAAGACGGAGCACACTTACCCTTAGAAGGTTGGAAGATGGACATTCCAAAGGAGTGACCAGGCTGGTCAGGAAGGAGACTTATTGGGGTTCATTAAAAATTTTTGTTACAAAATTCTTTTCTACATATTCTGCAAACTAAAGGCCTTTCAGTGGTTCTCTTGCAACATATATGTCACAGAAGAGGGAATGGATTTTTTCTGTCTTACAAACTACAGTTGAAATTTTCAGGTTCTTTTTGCCTTCCCCAAATTAAAAACAAAAGTTAGATACTGTGATCTATTCACATTTTCCACACATTACAAAGTGGTTGCTGAATGTGGCTATTAAAATGTGAGTAAATTATTTGCTTGTTCTCTGATTTGGTTGAAGATACATATTATTCACCCCTTTATTATTAGAGGCATAAGCATGTTAAATCTGAATCTTTAAGGCTGAGAAATTTTTTCATCCAGAAAGGAGAGGGGGTGACAGTGCTGAGTTTTGAATAGTGAAGATTAAAAGCTAATTGAATTTCAGTTAGATGGCTTCAGTCTTCTTAGTGAAGTAGGAGGCTAAGTCATTAGCTGGGTGTGAAACCAGAGCAGGGTGCAATGTGGAGCCTATGGGAAGAAAAATGTTTGCAACATTCACTGTGAGACTCAGTAAGAGCAGTGTAACAGACCTGCTGAACAGCAATGGGGGCCCAGCTGAAATCATGCTACAAGTGTATAGCAGGCAAACAGTTTAATTTTGTGACATTGTCTTGTGATACAGCAGCCTGGGATCATGAACAGAAGACCTAGAGATGTTACCTAGGGTTTTGGAAATAGTGGAAAGTATGAGAGACAAAGGATCTTAGGGTAGTCAATAATCAATCATTAAAGTGGCATGTGAAGTCAAGACTGAGTGTTCAGGTAAATGTTATCAAGATTGAGAGGATAAAATGAGGTCAAGAGACTGGAGGTCATGATGAGGTCAGAGAGTAGGTACAGTGTGAATGATAGTGGAATGGGAAAGGTAGAATCATGGAGAGATGGCTTTGGAAAATTTTGATGTGGTGAAATTCTATGAGATGGTAACCCTCTGAGATGTGACTGTGGATGGAACTTTTTTTACCCTGAAAATTCCTAAAATTTTTTTTTTTGCCCTGGAAGACTCCTTTGTCATGCTGTTCCCTTTCTCCCATTGGTGGGTTATTTCTGGGCCTTCCATTTTGGAAAGTGGGCCCAGGTCTGCCATGCTTTGTGCCCTCCTACCTGTGCTTCTCACTCAATAGCATTTAAGTGCCCCCACCTGGGTACCCTTTCCCTCAACAACTCCTCACCAGGAGAGGGTATAATCTGAGGGGGTCAGGGACATTAATCACTGGTCATCATAGTAATCAAGTTTAAAAGTAAAAAATAAGCCCATACCCTACAGGTGAGAAATATATGGCTTATGACTTCATATTGACTCTTATTATTGGGGGTATTCCTGCTCTGCAATGTAGTTTTCTATTTGAAAAACTTCAGTTCTTTCATTATTTCTTCCTCCCACTTTCAAATCAGTACACAATTTGGCTTTAGAGGGTTGGGTTTTTTTGTTTGTTTGTTTTAGCACTCCTCAGGTGGGAGTCACTGCATTGATTACCTGTGTGGTAGCTATCATCACTAATAGAAATGAAAATGGTGATTAACCCATTCCTAAAGGCCTGAGCTAGTATTCCCTGTATTACTTGGGTTTTGATCAGCACCTATGATTTCATTAGTACATCAAGTTCCCTATGGACAAAATTCCTTCCACCAATACAGATCAATTCTAGAATTTATAGCCTTAAGAGAGTTACTTGGAGATGAGAGGTAGTGACTTGCTCAATGACACACAACTAGTATCAGAGGCACTATTTAAACTTAGACTTACTCTCACACATCCACTCCACTGTAATTAGGTTATTTAATAGCTATGATATCTCAAGAACAAATATGCTAATGCTGTAAAACAAACAAAAAAGATGAAAATGTTTTTATTTTGAATGCTAATAAAAATAATGGGAATTACTAAATATGAATTGAAAACTATTAGGCCAGGAGAGTAATAGAGTTTTTAAAAAGATATTTTCAGATTCATCAGAGCCAATTTCACTTTTATCATTCTGTTTTGATAGTAAATGCTAATAAAAAAGAATGTGAATGTTACTAAAAATGAATGAAAAACCATTAGGCCATGGAAGTCATAGGATTTTTTATATATCTTCAGATTCATCAGAACTGTCTTCACTTTGATCATTATCATCACTGCTGTCTTCTTCACTATCACCACTACTATCGTCACTTTCTTCTTCTCCAGCATGGCTTTTTTCTGCCACAGAAATAAACAGAATTGTTAATCATTTTGCTTAAAGCATTGTTCTTTTGCAAACACTTTACTTCCTCCTTCAAAATAATATGCTCTTTTGAAGACTACAGAGATAAATAAACTTTTAGATAATAAATTCTGGGTCAAATAGAAGTTTTGTGTTTTGGCTTTTACCTTGAATAAATTCAGTGGAAAATATTGGAAGAGATTTCCCCAATGTACAATAAGCCATTTTTGGAAGCTTGATAAATTATTATTTTAAGACACAAAGTTAGTGCTGAAAACTTGCTCCCAGGATGACATCATATATCAATGAAGGAGCACATTCTTATTTGAATATAATTGTTTGTGAACTTTAAATTTACCGTAGATCTTTTTAAAAGAAAGTTGTAAACATGGTTTTTGCATAGTTCTTCTAGCAAAGCATTTATTTTTTTAATAAAAATATAAAGATGAAGACAATTTAGGCCTTTCCTGTGGCTTATGAGATAACCTGTGCTTTTAGCACTAGAGAGTAGGAAAGCGATCAGCAGTAGCCTCATGTCTTTGAAAGCTCTGCCTAGGGTCTAGAAATCATGGGAATTACTTTAGCTTGCATTGTGTAGTTAATGAAACCCTAGGAAACAGACCTTGAGGGTTCATGCCTCTGATTTCAATCTTGTCTGAACTTAAGACATTAGAGGTAGTTGTCTGCTCTTTTCTTAACTATCTCCATCTGAGAATGAAATTCACACTCTCTTGGTAACAAATTTTTAGACAACTGGTTATGAAACAAAGAAGTAGTTTCAAATTTTTAAAAATACCCATTAGCAACTTTTCTTCAATCAGTGAGGAAAACTCTTTGGCTTCAGGATTTTCTGGTTCATAGATCAGAACTGAAAGAGACAATTCACATTATTAATGGTCAAAGTGTTCTAGTAAATAGACATCCCATAGAGAAAAGTTGTTAAATTGTCAGTCATGGAATATGAAACTGCATGCAACTATAAGTACTAAAAATCATAACCAAAAGCATATCTATATGTAAGTAGAATGTTTTATTTATATAGTAATATTAAAATAACAACTATAAGTAACAAATCAAAAATATTAAAATATAACCCTTACTTATATAACCTTACTTGTAAATATTACCTTATTAATTCTCATTACATTTCTATGGTGAGGTAAGTAACAAATATGATCAATCACTAACATCTCAATTAGGCTTCATTCATTATCTGGGATCCAAAACGTTTCTTGGACACAGTGTCTTTTTCTTTTCCCAAAAGACGATGTAATCCAGCTGCAGGACAAGCTAGGCTAATGGATGAGATTAGGGAAGGGAGGGTTGTTTACTTTTTTGTTCACTAATTTATCTCTAATTGAATGTCTCATTGCTAATTCTAGTTAAACATGATGAAGAAAGGCATTTTTCCTTTAAAATTTTTATTTAATGATTGTTTAAATTTTTTTTTTACATGATAACCCATATCATATTGTTTACCATCTCAGGGAGGGGGAGGGAAGGAACGGAGGGAGAGAATTTGGAACTCAAAACTTTTTTTAAATGGTAAATTTTTATTTATTTTTAACTTATGGAATAAAACAAGCAATTCTGTAACATAGTATAATAAAAAAGATGATTGCACATGAAACTGCAAATCTATTAGGTATAACTTACTTTTCCTTTTAAATATATAATAAAATTATCATGTAAATTTTCCCCCCCTTTTTTTCTTCCCTTCCCTACCCTAGAGTTGGTTACCATTAGACACAAATGGGTATATATATGTAAAATGCATACTTCTATTTATTAAAAAATGATAAAACTTGTTTTTACATGTAACTGGGAACAATTATTCAAAAATTTTTTATTTGTAATCAGGAAATATCTAACAAATACACGAAAATAATTTTAAAAGAAGTTTTTTAAAATACTGGGTTTCTGGGGCAGCTAGGTGGCACAGTGAATAGAGCTCTGGCCTTGGAGTCAGGAGGACCTGAGTTCAAATCCAGCCTCAGACACTTAACACTTACTAGCTGTGTGACCCTGGGCAAGTCACTTAACCCTGACTGCCTCACCAAAAAGCAAAGAAAATAAAAATAAAAATAAAAAATACTGGGTTTCTCTAGCTTTCTTAGACTGCAAGTACAGGCAGGGGTTATTTTTATAGGCTTGGTGCCATTCTAACTGGCATTGGAGCCTTGATCTGTTCTGTTTCCTACTTGGGGTGGTTCAGGTCTCCTTTGGCAACCTGGTGGATCCCCATTCCTAGATGCTTACTATATTAATGCTAAACTCAGGGAAGTACACCCCACCTTTTTAGCCCACTGCAGCTTGAGACTTCTGAGACCAAGAAGTCTGCCAGCACTCTGCCACTCTGGCAGCAGAAACTACAGGTATGTGCTACCATGTCTGACAAAGACAAAGCATATTATATTTCTTATGCAAGCCCCCAAACGTTTAGCTTTCTCAATATAGGAGTAATGGCACTTTTCCATTCACCTCTCAAGTAAGAAAATTTTAAGTCAGCTTTGTTCATTATTCTTTACTTCATATATCCATGCTTCTGTTCACACTTGCTGCTTTTTCACACTTCTGATTCATTCATTCCTTCATCTTCATCCTGACAGAACACATTTTAGTACAGGCCCCTGATCGAACTACTAGAATGTCTTCTTGAGTGGACCATCAATACTATTCTCCTCTCATAGACCCTTTTTGTCATTGTCATTAACGTACTCGTTTTTGTTGTTCAGTTTTTCAGTCGTGTCTGACTCTGTGACCACATGGATCGTAATACGCCAGGCCCTTCTATCCTCCATTACCTCTCGAAGTCTGTTCAAGTTCATGTAACATGGTCATATCACTTCCTTATTAGGCTGCAAAGTGGTTTCCTAATGTCATATAGATCAAAAATATTTTCACATACTCCATCCTCTCACCCCCATTTGAGCCCTTTCCAATGGTCTTCTTTGGCCTATTTCTCAGGGTTTTTTAATTCCTCTCATTCATAATCTACTTAACATACTGCTCATCTTCATAGCTTCCAGGGGGGTGGGCAGAACATCATGTGTGTTATTAACCTAGTATATTCATAACCTGGCAAATAGCAGACAATTTAGTGTTCTACAAGCAATTTATATCCTTTCACTGGCAGCACTATGCTATCTAACTATGAAGTTCTTCTATTAGAAGCTTGAGGGAAGATACTATCAATTTACTAACCCTTCATACAGATTTTTAAAAGAACAATAAAGTAACACACATCTGAGATGTGTTAAGTATGATTGATATATTCCTGACAAAGTTTCTTGAAATTTCTAATAATCTTTACTCTAATGTGCAAATGGATAGTTCCCTCCAATTATGCAGATTATAGCTCTTTACAAAATGTTATTCTGATGCCTCATTATGGTGTGCAAGTGACCCTAGGTCCTCCAATGTTATTCCAGGAAAGAATAAATTCTGGAAGGTTCTATTATGCTTGAAAGGTTTTGAGTATGGGCTTGACAACAGATCGAAACTGTTTTCCAAGGACCAATCTGGCTAACAACAGAGAGGAACGTCACCAGAAATCTAATGGTATGGCAGCCCATAAAACAAAGCAAAAAAATAACCTTTAACCTCTTGTAAATTTTAGACCATGGCTTAAAGCAGTGTTTTCAATGGTATGATTCTGCCAGTCAGAATAGGCTACTTATTTCATCAGAGAAGAGGCAAAGAGGTTATCTCTTGGTATGGATCTTAGGGTCAAGGTGCAGTCAGTTTCCTCTCCTGTCTGATAAGCTGTTTGACTATCAAAAGTTGGAGGAAGGTATATTATTTGTACAGCATTCTGGTATCTGGGAGACAGCAGTCAGTCAGTATATATTTATTAAGTGCTTACTATGTGCTAGGCACTGTGGATACAAAGAAAGGCCCTTTGCTCTCAAGGAGCTCACACTATAACTGGGGAAGACATTGCAATTTGTGGTTGTTGTTCAGTCATGTTCAATTCTCTGTGACTTCATGTGGGGTTTTCTTGGCAAAGATCCTAGTATGTTTTGCCATTTTCTTTTCCAGCTCATTTTACAGATGAGGAAACGGAGGCAAACAGGGTTAAGTGACTTGTCCAGGGTCACACAGCTAGTGTCTGAGGCCAGATTTGAACTCAGGAAGATGAGTTCCCGACTTCAGGTCTGGCACTCTATCTACTGTGCCACCTAGCTGCTTGCTCTCTCTCTCTCTCTCTCTCTCTCTCTCTCTCTCTCTGTACACACACACACACACACACACACACACACACACACACACACACAAGATATATACATATATAGTGTAAATGGGAGGTAATTTCAAACAGAAAGCATTAGCAACTGGGGCACAGAGATGCTGGAAAAAACCTCTAGTATGAGACAGGATTTGAGCTGAGTCTTGAAGGAGCCAGAGAAACTAAAAGCCAGGAACTAAACTGAAACAGAAACTAAAAACTACAAATCCAGGAAGCAGTCAGAACAAAAATAGGAGTTTGGAGAGAGCACGTCCATGTAATGAACAATAAGTGGGCCGCTAGAGCTGGCTCACAGAGTGTGTGGAGGAGGGAAAAGCAGAAGACTTGAAAGACAGAAAGTAGCTGGGCTGTCAAGGGCTTTAAATGCTAAAAGGAAGAGTTTATATTTGATGGACAGCTAGGTTGTGCAGTGGCTAGAGCACTGGACCCAGAGTTTGGAAGACCTGACTTCAAATCTGGCCTCAGACACTTACTAGCTATGTGACCCTGGGCAAGTCACTTAACCCTGTGTGCCTCAGTTTCCTCATTTGTAAAAGGAGGATAATAATAGCATCTACCTCCCCAGGTCAATATGAGGATCAAAGAAGATAGGATCTATAAAATGTTTAGCACAGTGGCTGGTACATAGAAGGTGCTACATAAATGTTAGTTATTATTATTGTTAATATCATCATTGTCATCATTATCATCATCCTTGAAGACACAAGGAACCACTGAAGTCTTTTGAGGAGGAGGGTGACACAGTGAGACCTGCATTTTAGGAAAATCATGTTGGCAGCTGAGTAGAGGAAGGATTATGGGGAGACACTTGAAACAGAAAGGTCAGACAGAAAGGAAGGCTCTCACACAAGATAAAGTAAGAGATGAGGATGGCTCATACTAGGGTAGTGGGTACATGAGTAGAGAGATGGGGATACAGAAACTGTGAAGATAAAAATGACATTTGACAACAGACTGGATACGTGGAGAGAGTGTGAGTGGAAAGCTGAGGACCAGAAGGATGGTGTACCCTCAACAATAAGAAAAAAGTTGGAAAGAGGGAAAAGTTTTAGGGGAAAAGACTGTGTGTTCTGTTTTTGTGTGTGTGGAGTCTGAGATGTCTACAGGACATCTGATCTGAGATGTCCAAAATAAAGCTGATAATGTGGAATTGGTGCTCAGGAGAGAGATTAGGGCTGGATATATAAACCCGGGAATCATTTTCATAGACGTAATGATTGAACCCATAGAATCTAATGAAATAAGTGAAATAGTATAGAGGGGGAAAAAGAGAATAGAGTCCAGAGTAATTGTGGAAGTCACTTGTAGTTAGTGGACATGACCTGGATGAAGATCCAACAAAGAAGACTGAGAATAAGAGGTAAGGCAGGTAGGAGAACAATCACAAGATTCCATCAATATCACAAAAATCTAGGAAGAAGAGAGTATCCAGGAGGAGAGGATGACAGACAGTAGCCAAAGCTGAAGAAAGGTCAAAGAAGGATGAGGACTGGGAATAGGCCATTAGATTTGGCAATTAAGAGATCACTGAAGAACACCTTTTAAAATTTTTATTTGGTATTTTATTTTTTCCCTAATTACATGTAAAAACAATTTTTAACATTAGTTTTTAAAACTTTGGGTTCCAAATTTGGAGAGGACTTTTGTAAGGAACAGCTTCTGATGAACTAGATGACAGAAAGTCAGAAGTAAGATTGCTGAGAATTTAGAAGCAAGTAGAGGAGAAGTAGAATACATTTAGTGCAGTCAGTTTTCTCAAGGAGTTTACTGGAGAAAGGAGAGATGGAGGATAATAGCTAGTGGGGTCAAGTAAGTGGGAACAACACAAGCATGTTTGTTAAGCAGAGGAAGGAAGGAGTCAGGATACAGGGAGCTATAGAAGATTAGAGAGTGGGACTAGGTCCACTCTAGGTGACTGTAAACTTCCTTTACTCCCCGATATACTGGTGTGACTTAGCAGAGCTCCCTCTTTCCAGGGGAAGCTTCCACTGGCTGTGACAGGACATGTTTTAGGGAGTAGACCCTGACCCCACAGTATATTATGATAGTTCAAATTTTCCCTAGGAAAATTATCATGAATTGATGGGAAGATTTACTTGGTGTGGAATAGTGGACAAAGAGCCGGCCTCAGAGTCAGGAGGGAAGACCTGGATTTAAGGCCTCCTTTGGACACATTCTTGCTGTCTGACCCTAGAAAAGGCACTTAATTTCTCAGTGCTCTAGGGCCCTAAGAATACAAGTTGTCTGTACGGGGTGGCCCTGGAATGGAGTCTCCTCAGCCAGGAGGTTCCCTATGCCAATGAAATCACAGGTTCTTATTCAAGAAAGTCCTTTGTTTGGTATTTGAAGTCTTCATAATTTGCCTCCACTGTACTTTTCCAGATTGATTTCTATTAGTTACCCTGATGCACTCTACATTCCAGCCAAACTGTCCTATTTGTTTTTCCCCAAACATGACATTCCATTTCCCTCCTCCATAGTCTTTGCCCAGGCTGTGCCTCCCTTCTCCCCTCTGCCTTCTAGAATCCCTCAATCCTTTGAGGCTTAGCTGCAGTGTCCAACCACATGAGACCTTTCATACTTTTTCACCCAGATTAATTTGTATATGTTTTCTATTTACCCTTACGAATCCATGTTGATTACCTCCAGTAGAATGTAATCTCTCTGAGAGCAGGGATTATTTGCTTTTCTGTATTTGTATAAACCTAGCACAGTTCCTTGCAAATAGTAAGCATTTAACAACTATTTGTTAATTGAACCAAAAGGAATATAGAAGACAGCCCAAGTGTTGCATTATATACAGGATTCAGAAGACAACCTCCAGTGTACTATAGACCCTCTATGGAAGTTTTATGGAAATATTTGAACAAGAATCACTTCGGATGAGACAGGACTAGACAGGTTTTCATGTGTGGGGAGGGCAGGAGTAACACTACCCATGAGATCTTGGGTCCATCAAAGTAGTAATGAAGTAAATATTAAAAGACCCAAATTCTCCCACTTAGAATCTTTAGTTGCCTGTGATAGGAGGGAAATCAATCTCTCTCTCTCTGGGCTAGGCACTGAGAGATATACAAAGTTCAGATGACAGAGAAAACTCATGGATAAGTCTCTGCTTACATTCTAGTAAAGAAATACCACACACACACACACACACACACACACACACACACACACACAATTAACCAACACAGTAATTCACAAGTGTATGAGAGATGTATGATTAAATTGAAAATGTGGTCTGATATAGGAAAGGAATATTACCAAGTGGAATGCATATTTGGAGGGGGCAGTTAAGAAAAAACTTCTTGGAAAAGATTTGAGCTAGACTTTAAAGGATTGATAAGAATCAACCATGAAACATGCAGGGAAAACAATTAGGATAGTATTGTAAAAGTATAAGCAAGAGATAATAAGGCCTGTGACTATACATAGAAAGAGGAGATTGAATGTGAGAGGTATATGAGTATGTGAGATGAGTGAGACAAAGGGAGAGGAAGAATTATCAAGGATAATGCCAAAGTTATGAACCTGGGAGACTGGAAGAATAACGGTACCCTTGACAGAATTAGGGAAATTCAAGAGAGGGGAAGGTTTTGGGGAATAGATAATGAGTTTTTTTTCAGACAGGTTGAATTTGAGATGTCTCTTAAGACATCGAGTTTGAATTCAATGGTTAAAAGGGAAGAAAACTTTATATGGAATAGTACAAATAAGGGCAAGGAAGTGAGAAAGCATAGAATGTGAATGAGGGATTGCAAATGGTTGAGCTAGTGTACAAAGCTCATGAAGAGTATTAATATAAATTAAAGCTGTAAAGATAAGAGTAGCACAGGATCATGATTGCCCTTAAATGTGAGCCAAAGGAGTTAGTTTGAACAGTACTCTGTAGGGTCTGGAGCAGAGTATTACATGACTAGATCTACAAGTAAGGAAGATAGGGGTACGAAGAACAGGTTGCAGGACAAATAAACTGGAGGCTGTTAGACTGTTGCAGAGTCCAGGTGGATGGAGACCTGTACCTGGGTATATAGGGAGAGGAGGGGTTGGACAGAAGGATGTAAGACATATTGCAAAGGTAAAATTAATGGGACTTTGGATTTCCAAAAGAGGCATTGTGGGGTAGTGGATAGAGAATTGGCCTCAGAGTTCAGAGGGCCTTGGTTCAAGTTGATGCCTCTGATATTCTGGCTGAGACTTTAGGCAAGTCACTTAATCACTCAGTGCTGCAGGCATCCCTATCATCTCCATGCTGATGATTCCCAGAACTACATATCCTGCTGCCCAGTATCCCCTCTAAGTTTTGTCCAGGATCATAAATTGTCTGTTGGAAACTTCAAACTGGATTTCTCAGACATCTTAAAGTCAACAAGGCGAAAGCTGAACTTAGTTTCTTTTCCCTTAAACCTTTCTTTCATCCAAACTTCCTGGTGTCTGTTGAGGGCACCACCATCCTTCCAGTGTCTCAGGTTTGTCATCTCATGTGATCCTTGACTCTTCACTTTTCTTCACTCCATGTATCCATGAAGTTGCCAACTCTTGCTGTTTCTACTTCACACCATTTTGGGTACCTAATCCCTTCTCTCCATCCACTCTATTTCAAGCTCTTCATCTCTTGCCTAGACCATTGGCTACTAACTTGTCTCTCTGCCTCAAATCTCTCCTTATTCCCAATTCATCTTACGCACTACTGCCAAAGTAATATTCCTCAAGTGCAGATGTGACCATGTGACTCCCTTCATCAACCAACTCTAGTGGCTTCCTATTATCTCTAGAATAAATATAAAATCCCATGTTTAGCTTTTCAAGTCCCACAGAAATTGGCCCCAAATTATGTTGCTTCTTTGAACATGACATCTATTATCGTCCAAACTGGTCTTTGGTCTGTTCTTCTCTCATGATACTTCATTTCCCATTTCAACACCTTTGCATCCATCCATGCCTGGAATGCATTCTCTTCCTTTAAGATGAAGTTCAGGAACTATCTTCTATATAAAGCCTTTTCTGAGCCTCCAAATTACTGATGCCCTCTCCCAAAATTACCTTCTATCTAACTAGTGTGTGTGTATGTATTAAATTGTATATTTATTTTTATATGAATTTATGGGCAATCTGGCTAATTATATTTGTTATTATGAAATCACATCTGACAATTATTTATTTGGAAATACAAAAGAGAACCAAGCATGGCTATAATCACTGCTACTGGAAGGCTGAAGTTGATATTAAGTCCACGCCTAATATGATGAGCCCATGAGAGTAGGGGGACATCAGGTGCTATGCAGAGGTAAAGCAACCCACATTGGAAATGGAGCATGTCCAAATTTCCACGCCTATTGGCAATGGGTTGAAGGCCTTTGCCCCAGGGGCCTGTTCCTCCCTCTGATTGGAAGCAGAAAGCTTTCTTCCCAGAACCTTCATTCAAGGAGGAGCCCAGATCAGCAATGTCTTCATTTCCCACCTGGCTGTATTCCTCATGACTTCTGCATCATGCCTCCACACCAGGTACTTCCCCACCTTCCTCCTGCTTTTCTGCTTATTGACTGACAGGCTAGCTGTTGCAATTTCAGCCTGGGCAAGATTAGGGAGACCAAGAGAGAGGGAAAGAAATAAAGAGAGAAATAAACAAGGAGAGGAAGAAAAAGAAAGGAGGGAGGGAGAAAGAAAGAGAGAAAAAAGAAAGGAAGAAAAAAAGGAAGAAAGAAAAAGAAAGAAAGAAAGAAAGAAAGAAAAAGAAAGAAAGGAAGGAAGGAAGGAAGGAAGGAAGGAAGGAAGGAAGGAAGGAAGGAAAGAAGGAAGGAAGGAAGAAAGAAAAGCATAAGAAAACTGTACTTACTCAATTGACATAATTTTTTTGCCACAGCGTAGTTTCGGCTCATTACTGCTCTTAGGAACTAAAAGAAAAATGAACAATTAGTAGGTTTTAGAGTTAAGTAAGACTTATGATATTACCTCTTCCCTTAGCTATTAATTATTTATACACATCGTTTAGGAGTGTGCCTTCAATCAAACAACAAAGAACTATTTACTGAGTGCCTTATTATGATTGGTCATTTCAAATAATACAATAATAACTGACTTAAGAAAGTACTTTAAGGTCTGAAAAGCACTTTATGCACCTTATTTAATTTGTTCCTCACAACAGTCATAGGTATTACAAAATAATACCTGCTTATAAAAGAGAGCCTAAATGACTTGCCTACAGTCACACAGCAATGAAATATGAGAAGCAGGATCTCAGGGCAGGTCTCCCTCCTAACTCTAAATTCAATGCACTTTCTACTACAACCTCATTGCCTCCATTGAGAGAGGAGTTTGAAGTGGAGTAAGTAGAATAGCTCTTGCTTTACATGAGATAAACTACATGCTATAGCTTTTGCTTTGTAAGAATACATGGGCTCAAACTGTTAGGGACTTTGATGCTACTAGGGAAGAAATTCATCACTATTCTCCAGCAAAATCAAATAGATTTAGTATAGTTTTTTTTCCCAATGAAGAGTCTTTATTTTGTATTTTAAACAGAGGAAGTTTAGAGTGAGGGTGGATACTTCCACACTGAGCATATATTGTTTAACAACTTTTCATGAGCCTACCCTGACTTTGAAGAAATGAAATAAAAACTGAAGAATTCTTAATTGGAAAAGATCCCCAACATGAAAGGAACTTGAGCTCTTTTGGGGAGGTCTTCTCAGGGCCATAATTCAAGTCCGGATCACCTGAAAAACTGGTATTCAACACAATTGATTTGGGGGTTGGGGGGAAAGAGGGAAATAGGGGCAGGTCCTGATAGGCTGCTGGGTTTGGAGGAGTCAAGTTGATGCTTATGGCAGACAGGGATGAAGTACAAATTTTTGAAGTTATCCACTTCTACCCCCACCAGACAGGCTGAGGGTATCAGTGTTCATATCTGTGTGTATCATGCGCATGTGCACATGCACGTGGGAACCTCTTTTTAGTATTCAAGAAAAGTACTCTCAAAAACTAGGAGGGGAAGAAATTCCAACCCATTTCAACCTCTAAGCCATCCTATCTGTAACATCTGCCTCATCCCCCCAAAACAACCAAGTGTTCTGTGTGCTAACAACATAACTTAAAAAAAGTAAAACAAAATTCTGCATTTTTATAAAACTTGATAAATACAGTTTTTCAAACTGTAGAGTCACCAGAAGTACACAGTTATCAAAAATTCACACAATTCACTTGGCCTCTCTAGCACTTTCAAAGCTTTCTGTGCCTGGTCTGTTTTTTTTCTTCAGTATTTTTTTGGGTCTCCTTTAGCAAGCTATTGACTTGTTTTTCATGATTTTCTTATGTCACTCTCATTTCTCTTCCCAGTTTTTCCTCTACTTCTCTTACTTGCTTCTCAAAATCCTTTTTGAGCTCTTCCATGGCCTGGGACTAATTCTTATTTTTTCTTGGAGGCTTTGGATGTAGGACCTTTGACTTTGCTGTCTTCTTCCAGTTGTATGTTTTGATCTTCTTTGTCACCAAACTAAGGTTCTATGGTCTGACTTTTTTGCCCTGTTTGCTCATGTTCCCAGCCATTTACTTGACTTTTAAACTCTTTGTTAAGGTAACGGTCTGCTTCCAGTGTGGAGAATGTACTGTCCCAAGCTTCAGGGGTTTTGTGTAGCTTTTTTCAGAGATACCTTCTAGGGACCTGTAAATTTTCAGTTCTTCCAAGGTGGTATGATCAAGGGCAAGGTGTTTACTCTTCTCCTGGCCTGGGCTCTGGTCTATGAGTGACCACAAGCACTCTTTTCTGCCTTGGAACTGTGAGGACGATTCCCTCTCCACTACTGCCACAAGTTCCACCACATCAGCACTCCTCCTCACCCCAGGAACTCCACCCAGAACAACAACTCAGATCCAAGTAAGGGCAAAGCAAGAGAATCCTGCCTCAGCATCAGCAAAGAGATCCCTGCAATCCCTCTCTGATCAGCCATTCAATCCCTCCTCTGTCTGTGGGCCGAGAGCTTTGGAAGCAGCCACTACCCCAGGGTTGCACAGGGACTGGGGCTGGGACCAAGCTCCTCTCTCATCATGGTCCGACAGACCTTTCCTACTGACCTTCTAAATTGTCTTTGGTGTTTGTAGGTTGAGAAGTCTGGAGACTGCCAGTCCCTTGAGGCCTGCCCCAGGTTTGCTGAGGCCTGGTCTTTGCCTGTGTCCCACACTGAACTGCACTCCATTCCCAGACCAGTGCAACCGATCTTTCCAATCAATCATCCAGGTTGTCTTGGGTTGGAAATTTGTTTCACTCTGTCTTTTTGTGGGTTCTGCTCTGGAATTTGTTTAGAGACAATTTTTCCAGGTATTTGGAGGGGTTTGGGGGAGAGCTCAAGCAAGTCACTGCTTTAACTGCACCATCTTGGCTCTGCTCCCCTGTCTCTGGTCTGTTTTGGCATCTCAGTTCTCTGCAGGGTTATTCCCATCCTTACTGGAGTCAGCCTTTCCCTTTTTCCCTTTGGGTTACTTCTTTTCCTTCTTTGCAGGTGCTTTTTTGGGTATGGGTTCTGGCTTTGGAGGAGCAGGTTTAGCAGATAACCATGCTGATCTCCTCTGTGGTTCATCCTTAACCTTGGTCTTGTCTTGCTTAGCATCTCCTTCAGCCTTTCTCTTGGGCATGGTGGTGACAGTGGAGGGGTAGGAGTAGCAGAGTCAGGGCACAGGTTGCAGCGGCTGGTCAGGGGGTCACTCCCATCTCCTCTTCCTCACACTGCTTTGATTTAATATAGTTTTAACACTTCTTTGAAACCCTGGCATACATTCACAATGAAAATAGTTGGAAGAAATGTAGACTCACAGGGCCATAGAAAAAGTCTTTTAAAAAAGAACCCCAAATAAATCATTAATTTATTCAACAACCACTTATTAAGCACTTGATATGTGTAAACAGTATGCTATATAATTACATTTGTGGGAGATACAAAGATAAGTAAGATGTGATCTCTGTCTTCATGAAACTTAGAATCTGTCACAAAGATCTCTAACATATTTTTGATATCAGCCTAGTCTTCTAGTGTCAAAAGATCAAAAGAAAGGCCTCCAGAACATTGGATGGTATTCCCTTGCCCCACTGCCAGCAGTGATTTTAAGGGAAGTTATTTCATAACTGGGATGATAAAATAAGACCAGGTAACACTACATTTTAAGAAGACAAACTCAAGTGAGGAAATCCAAGAACCTGAATGGGAATGCATGGTGGATAATATTTGGTTGAAGACTGATGAAGGCAAAAAACAGAAGTAATTTTGATAGAGGGAGATTCAATAGACCACCTGGACAGAGAAAAGAAGTAAATGAGGAGCTTGGGAAACAGACCACAAGCCTGGCAAAGAGCAATGATGTAACCATGATGGGGGCTTATCCAGACATCTGCTGCTGGAGCTTCCTCTCTCTTAAAAGTAGAGCAGCCTTCAAAAGGTAGAGGAACCCACAAAGGAAGCTTTGATTCTGGATTTGATTCTTATCAATAAGGAGGAAACAGTTGCTGGAGGGAAAAGAGTGGGAACCTTGAGAGGAATCTGGCCCTTTCTTTCGCTTCCAGTCTTCTCTACACATTCTACAATCCAGCAGCACTGTCCATTCCACAAATGCCACATTCTGTCTCCCCACTAGGTGCCTTTTCATGGGCCATCCCTCATGCTTGGAATGCTCTCCCACTTGACTTGGCTTCAATCCCACTCTCTGCAGAAGGCCTTGCCTATTACACCCCTCTCCAAATTTACCCAGAACTTTCCCTTAAAGATGACTTTCCATTTACATTGTATATATTTTGTATGTTTGTTGTTTGCATGTTGCCTCCCCCATTAGAATGTGAGCTCCCGGAGAGCAGGAATCATAGTTTTGCCTCTCTGTATCCCTAGCCCTTAAGCACGATGCCTGGCACACAGTAAGTGCTTAATAAATGCTTGTTGTTGAGCATGATTATGATAAAGTGACCACTCCCCTTTTCCTGACTTTGTGATATGGAAAAGGAAATAAGGACATAAATTTCCTCTAGGGACAGAAAAGATTTTAAAGGCTTCAAAGGAGGGAAAGATAAGATCCTTCAGACTGTTTCTATAGAAGTCAATCTAGGTGGGATAGCAAGCTCTCAATAGTGAAACCTTGAAGAAAGAAGGACAACTACAATGAGGAAGAAAAAGGGGGGTTGTCTGAAGAGACCAACATGGCGACACAGGGAACACAAAAACTCTCTTAGGTTTTTAAAAGCTAGGTGTAGAAAATGTAAGAAGGGTCAGTTAGCAAGAGACAGGATACAAAGGCATGGCATGGCTCTGTAAGAGTGTGTCAGGAGTGCTAGGAAGAGGAATTCCTTAGCAGGAGAAGAGCTAGGTAGAACACAAAAGCATTCTGAAAGTCAAAGTGGTGGAAAGAGGAGGATCAAAGGAGGCTAGGATCCCTGTTAAGGGCAGATGGGATGACAACTGCCATCAAAGAGAAGGTAGAGTCTCTTGATTCTTATTTTCTCATTTTCTCTCCCAAGGAGTTTTCCCCCTGCTTTCTCTCACTCTAGGTATCAGGACCACATTTGTCTTATACATAGGTGCAGAGTTTGGTAGGATGCCTTCTTTATTTTTGCAAACAGTGATGTAGGAGTTCAATGTTCATTTACTTGTAGATCCATCTGGGCCTGTGGTTTTTTCTTTAGAAGCTCATTTACAGTTTATTCAATTTTTTTCTAAGGTAGGCTTGTTTAAATTCTCCATTTATTGTTCTATTTATATGGCAATTTTATATTTGTGTAAATATTCATCCATTTTATTTAAGATACCAGTTTTGTTAGCATATAATTGAATAGAAGAGTTTCTAACAATTTACTTTATTTCCTCTTCAAAAAAAGAAAGAACTTAATATCTCTTTACTTTTCTTGGATATCAACAACCTG